AAATGATTTCAAAAACACAATTAAGATAATCAAAGATAACCAAGATGGAATGGTCTGACTCCTGTCAGTGTTCAGAGCAAGCTCGGAATTCAGCAATACTGACTGTGTTCCCAAAAATGGACATCTGGGTGGTGGTGGTCACTCAAGAACTCTACTTCTCCCCAGGAACTCCGAGGTATAATGTCTCCGTGCATTCGAGGAAGTGAAATACAACCAAACAATAGTGGGTTTTTGTTGCTTTCTTCTGACAAATGACACATCTCCTCACTAACACAACAACAACAAAATAGCAATGGCAAGGCATGTAATAGCGACTGAGGAGTACCAGGTTAGAACTCACACTTAACCCAGCACAACTCAGGAAAAAAAGTCGAGGATTTCAAGAATATCAACCTAATGTTCACAACACTGCTCACTATTCCCACAGCTGCACTTACTTGGCTACATTAAGTTGGTGACGTATTTGTGAATACTTTAGCCACAGGGAACAATAAAAAGCAAACTCTGTAACACTGAAGACGTTGTTCTTTCAAAGTGATTGTACTTCCCATTTGCTTGATGCTGTCAAGCATGTCACTCAGAAAAAAAAACAAAATTCCAGACAATATAGCCAAGAGTAAAATAAAAAACAAAGTTTGCACATTTCCGAATTATCCAAATTCCTTCCCCATGCCAAAGAACCATTATTAACAGTTGTCTGGGTTACTTGCTTCTTTCACTAATATTTTCCTAATACTTCCATATCATGAACCCATGTAAGTCTACCTGATTCTTCTGAACAAGTTCAAAGTACTCTTTTGGATCTCAGGATATCCATAATTTATTTTAGCCAGTCCTTCATGAAAGACTGTCCAGTGTGGTGTTAGGTTTGTTTGACAATTGTATGCAATGCTGTGCTAAACACCTTTGCACATTTGGCACTGATGTAGTTAATCGGTCGTTTAGGAAAAACTCCAACACACAATTCATGGGTCAAACGGTACAAAGACTTGAACTTTTATATACTATTTAAAAGTATTAAAAGCATAAATTTTAGAGAAAAGTAAACAAGACACACACAGATGTTCCATCTGCTAGTTCACCCCAAAATGTCCACAACAGTCCAAGCCAGGACATGCTGGAACCAGGAGCAAGCAGCTCAGCTGCAGTGTCCCACACGGGAGGCAAAGGCAGAAGCACTGCTGCCAACACCTGCTGCCTCCAAGAATGTGCATTGACAGGAAGCTGGGAGCAAGAGGAGAGCTGGACGCCCCCACTGATGTCCTGCCGAACCATACCGTCAATCATTAAATCAATGTAAATTTCCATGTAGTGTTATTACACTCTATCAAAGTCAAACCTGATAGTTTACTGTCACTTAGAAGTGAGGCTAAGAGTCTTTTTAAACTTTCATTAGCTGCTTTTTTTTCTCCTGTAAATAACAGGCTGTTATTCTGCAAACTTTTCAGTTACATTTTTATTTTCTTCTCTTCATGTTTCTTTTAAGACATCTTTATATAGCTAGGAAAATTATCTATGGTTGTCTGCTTTTTTCCCAAGTTATGTTTACTAATTTTATTTTAAAAAATGCTTTTTGCCATGTGTTAGTTAAAATTAAAACATATATCAGTTCTCTTTGTATTCCTACGAAATGTTTGGTATATGTATATATACATATATACATAAAACATAAACACATGGTATATACACATACACACATACATATAAACACATATGCACTATATATATATATATATACCCTGTGTATTTTCCTGGTACTTTTATACTTCTAGTAATGACCTAGAATTTATTTTGGAATATAGCAAAGGGTAGGAAATCGAGTTCTATTCTGTTTTTCCATTATAGCTATTAGAGCAAGCCAGCAGCTCTATCCAGTAGAGGTACAAATTTTTCGCTATTACTGTTCTATTAAACTATAAAAATCTGCTAGGGCTCCTTCATTACTTATTCCTCTAGAAAAATCTGATAAAGCTGTAGTCCTTACAATTTTTCCTTTTTTTTCTTGCTGTTTTCCAGAAGAAACACAGAATCCCTTTAGATTTCTGTCCTAAATTTGGGGGGAATTACAACTGGAATGGCACTTAGTTTATACATTAATTTAGAATGCATCAGAGGTCTCCAGTTTTGAGTTATACTATTCATTAGCTATTTATAACAAATACTTGTAAAGGACTGTTGGCCAGACCTATCTGATGAACATATTTTAATATTCAAACAATCTCATGTAACTTCACTCCTGACTCTGAAATGACATATAACAAAGTAAATATAACCAAGATGTCTCTTTCATTTATTCCAAGTTTTCCTTGTTTAGGCCCTGTACATTAATTGTTTTAGTTGATTCCTAGATAAATTTAATTACTGTTTTAATTGGAACCACTTCTTCCACTATATTTCTGACTTGCCATAATTTGTATAAAATAGATTTTTGAACACTAACTTTGAAAGTATCTACCTAACAGAATTACTTTTTGTCCTAATACTTTAATTTACGGCAAGTTTTCCAAATGCACAATAGATAAATATTTATAATTTCAATATACACTTTCTAATATGTATAATTCTAAATATTTAACTGAATAAATATTTCATGTCTCAATAATTTTTTTTTTAAGATTTACTTTTTTTTTTATTAGAAAGGCAAATTTACAAAGAGAAGGAAAGATCTTCCATCTGCTGATTTACTCCCCAAATGGCTGCAATGACCAGAGCTGAGCTAATCTAAAGTCAGGAGCCAGGAGCCTCTTCTGGTTCTCCCAATGGTGTACATAGTTTCAAGGCTTTGGGCCATTCTCTGCTACTTTCCCAGGCCATAAGCAGGGAGTTGGACAGCAAGTGGAGCAACCAGGAAATGAGCCACACCCATATAGGATGCTGGCACTAGACGGTAAAGGATTAGCCTATTGAGCCACAGCTCAATAATTGTGTATTACTCTTCTGCTACTAGATTCCATTTGTAATATTTGTTTCATGATCACTGAAGCGTAAGTGAAATTAATCTAGAGTTCTCTTTGCATTTCTACAAAACATTTGGCATTGTTATTTCTGATCATTTAAAAGCTTTCTTTCTTTTTCCTGTGTTTTGTAGAGCTTGGGCTTTACTTGTTTACTATTTATTTGTTTGTTTGAGATGCAGAAAGAAAGAGCTCTCATTCACTGCTGGTTCCCAGAATGCCCACAACGTCCAGACCTGGGTCAGGCTGAAGCTGGGAACTGGCAGCTCAATCTAGACCTCCCACATGGATGGCAGGAATCAAACCTGCTAGAGCTATCATCCCTGCCTCTCCGGAGCTACATCAGCAGAATCCTGGAATCAAAGGTTCGAGGCAAGGTCAAAGCCAGGCTCAAGCTGGGACATTGGTGCCCTAACCACCTGACCAAACACTCACCCCTCTTTTCTACATTTTGGAATAATTTAAGTAACATCAAGATTATATTACTCCTTAATGTTAAAATAATTCACCTGTGAAACTGTCCAGATTTAGTACTTCTATGGCATTTGCTCAGTTTTCTCTTCCATAGCTAGTGTCTGTGTAGGTTCTCTTTTATAAGTCAATTTTCATAATTTATACTTTCCTAATAAAGCATACAAATCCATTTTAAATGGTACCAAATAGTCCGGCTACCTGTAGAAATCTGTAATACTTTTCTAACTAAGAGGAAAGACAAGGCTTGGCACGACAGCCTTGCACACCCAGGATCCCATAGGGGCGCCAATTTGTATCTTTGTTGTTCCACTTCCCATCCAGCTCCGTTGTAGCCCGGAATAGCAGTAGAGTATGTGCCAAAACCGTGGGACCCAGAGGAGGTTCCTGGCATCCACATGGGAGACTAAGAGGATGTTCTTGGCTTCTAGCTTCAGATTGGCTCAGCGCTGGCCATTGCGGCCACTTGGGAAAGGAGCTAGCAGATAGAAGACATTTCTCTCTGTCTTTCCTTCTCTCTGTAAATCTGCCTTTCCAATAAAAATTCATAAATCATTTTTAAAAGGAAAGATATGAGCAAACACATAAAGTAGCATTACATATGAGAAAACTCATATTCAAAATGAGCTAAATATATCAAAGTGGAGCAAAATATGGGTATTTTACTCAAGCCATGAATTTTGGAAAATAACTTATCAATAGAGTTTTCTAAGTAATGAAGTACTATTAGGATATTCAGACTCAGAAAACTGCAAATAAAAGAGAAAGTGACACTAGTATAAACTTTTTTTCAAAATACTTCTTGCTACAAGGTAGGAAATGATTTTCATTTGGATAAGGCCTATTTCTTAAGCATTTATGAGTCCAAAATACATTTTTAAAAACCACTTCAAAGTACTTTTACATGTTACTACTCCTATTATCCAAACTCTAAAAGAGGGCGAAATATTTGAGTACAAAATGACAGTACTCTAATTTATCAGAAACTGTATTACTAAATCAGCTAACAAATGAGCACTTACTATAAGGTAGACTCTGTCGGAGACACAGAAATGGTTAAGACATGGCCTTTTAGCTCAAAATAACTTACTCCATTCATCTCCAGTTCCAACATGACATAACTGTAATATATTCAGGGTTATATATAAAAACTTTAGGAAATATAAATAGCACCAATACAATTTTGCTTCACAGAAGAGCAAACACAAAATATTTGGAAATCAAATATGAAATATATTTAACTATTCATCACAGATATCCATAACTTTCAAGTTGTTATAAGTTTTGAAAATCAATATTAAGTCCTAACATCTTAAACTGAACATCACTTCCCTTTCCATGGTAAGATCCTAAATATTGAACTATGACATTAAAACTTCAGCAAAGGTAAGACCAAAAAAATGAACTTCAAAAAATGTTACAAAGCAAAAGGATCTTCTGCTCTAATATTAGAATGTTAATGAAAAACCAACAGAAACTTTAGAATCTTCTTCAGAAAAGATCTCACCTGTAAAGAGTACACACTATATATACAATGAGGATACAGCAATGTACACTACTATGGCAGAAACCTACCTGTGCACACGATTCTTCAGGTGTTTTGGCACTAACTGAGTAAAGTGCTGGGAGATCTAGCCTATGCACAGAGAACCTTTCCAAAGTATGAAGAAGTGCTGGAGCAAGGTGGGACGTTTGACCTGAACCTCGTTCTCCAGACAGCAACAATCGTGGCCGATAAGAGGTTGGCTGATGATAAGGTGACCTGTATAAGGCATAGTAGAGATCACAACACCATACGTTATGAAGCTCTATATTTAAAAAAAAAAAAGTTTCAAAAAGGCGAAAAAGACAGGGAAGGCAAGATAATTACATTAAAACGATGTAACTATAAACAGATTTTTGTTATTAAAACATAGTGGATTTTTTTTTCATGAATCACAATTTTAAAATCTGATCTTTTTCATAAATAAGATATCAAAAGAAATCCACTAAAATAAAGTAAAATTCCTTTGTCATTCATTCTTTCTTATCACATACATGAGCTTGGGGATGTATCAGACTGTATGTGATGTGAAAGAATGAATAAGCTTTCTGCTAACGCAGAACCTGCAAGCAGTGGCAATGCCTCTGTCTCCCAAATGGGAGACCAAGATAGGGTTTTCAGTTCCCAGCACTAGTCCAGTCCTAGCTGTATAGACATGTGGAAAATGAACCAGCACACTCTGGCTGTCTCTCCTCTGGCTATGAGCCTCTCAAACCTAATGATTTAAAAAATAAGGAATGGAGATTGTTGAGCAGATTAAGACTTGATTTGGGACACCCACAATCTATATCAGAGTGCCTGAGATAGAATCCCAGCTCTACTTTTAATACAGCTTCTTGCTGGTGCACCTGGAAAGTAGCAGATTCTGGCTCATGTGCTTGGCTTTCCATCAGCCACAAGGGAGACTCAGATGGATAGCCTGGGTCCTGGCATTAGCCTGGCCCAGACCCAGTTGTTTTAAGTAAGGACTGAAGCAACAATTACAGATCTCTTCTCTGTTCCTCTATGTCACCTTTCCTTTTAAATAAATGAAATTAAAACATTTAATTAACAATAAATAGGTAGGGCCCGGCGCAGTGGCCTATTGGCTAGAATCCTTGCCTTGAATGCATTGGGATTCCATATAGGCACCAGTTCTAATCCTGGAAGCCCCACTCCCCATCCAGCTCCCTGCTTGTGGCCTGGGAAAGCAGTCAAGGATGGCCCAAAGCCTTGGGACCCTGCACCCATGTGGGAGACCCGGAAGCAGCTCCTGGCTCCTGGCTTCGGACTGGCTCAGCTCTGGCCATTGAGGATGCTTGGGGAGTGAATTAGCGGACAGAAGATTTTCCTCTTTGTCTCTCCTCCTCTCTGTATATCTGACTTTCCAATTAAAAAAAATCTTTATAATAGATATGTACATATAAATTCTGAGAAAAGATGGCATGGCATAACAAGCAAAGCTGCCGCCTGCAATGCCAGCATCATATATGGGTGCTGGTTCATGAAGTGGCTGTTCTATTTCCAGTTCACTGGTAAAGGACTAGGAAAATCAGCAGAAGGTAACCCTTGTGTTTGGGCTCCTGGACCCATGTGGGAGACCTGGATGAAGTTCTTGGCTCCTGGCTTTGGCATCAAAACTCATTTGCTCTCTCTCTCTCTCTCTTTCTCTCTCTGTAACTCTGACTTTCAAATAAATTAGTAAATATTATTTTTAGAAATACAAGATAAACCAATTCTTTCAGAAACACCCAAACAAAATCATCCAGACCTTGCAGCACACATCAGAACAGAGGCAAATGATAGTCTTAAAATCAAAACCAATTTAAACAAAGAAACAGTCACACAAGGCACAACAATTAAATGCTGGAACAGATCAGGAGATCTTTCTTGAGGGTATAAAGGACCAAATCCTTGATTTGGTCCAGAAGAAGAAACAGTCTAATAGAAGAGCTTGATGTTAAAGAGTGCATTAACAGAGGTTAAAAAAGAGTAGAACACAAGTAATTCTGCTTCATTTTTAAAAATGCAAAATAAGAAATTGACTGGCAATAACCAAATAATACAAATAATCAAACCAACACTGCACCAAGATCCATATATGGTGCAACTTGGTGCAAGTTGAAGACTTAAAGTTGTTCAAAATCTCAAGAAAAATTAATTCAAAGTGCACACAATCTGGCCTCTTTCAATAGACATGTTATTAGACATACCTGACAGGAGCTTTGTAACCCTTCAATTACCACACTAATTATGTAAATGCAAGTAATGATGCTGTTAGTATTTGAAAACTAATTGATCTCTTACTTTAAAGTCACATTTGCACTTAAAATGGTTATCCATTATAGTGCATAGCAAAAGATACTTTAATACATATAGCAAAAAGGTCAATGGAAACCAAAAACCATAAAATAACACTAGTGCAAACAAACAAGATTTTCAGAGAACCGAAAGGTTACCTGTTTAAACGCTAACTTCTACTTCAAAATCAAATTAGTAGCTATAGGGTCCCAATAGTTATTTGAAACTTACTATAGATTAAAGTACTCTAGATTGTGGTATTTCATTTTGTCCATTTTAATTCAAATAAAAAATAAAACTGAAACCACGAGGCAACGTTCTAATGTTCATCTCTACTACTAAATACAGAATATCATAGAGTGTTTTGTTTTGTTTTGTTTTGTTTTGTTTTGTTTTGTTTTGTTTTACCCCTAAGAAACACCCGCAGATAAGATTCTCCTTCTTGGAGGGTAAAAAAAAATCTTTTTACCAGTAGATAAAGCATTTCTTAGTAAGAGTTTTCCAGAACTATATCTGAACAACAAAGTAAAGCCTAAATGTTACAGCTGTAAGTAAAAGTATAGTATAATTCCACCCAGACAGAAGCCAAAAAAAATCTATCTAAATCAAAGAAATTGAATAGAAATGACTCACATTGTAAAATGCAGGTAGGATTTATGGATAGCAGCAGCTGACGACTGTTTCTTTGGTGATTCTGAGTGACAGCTAGTCTCAAAAATTGACAAAGCATTTTCATCTTCACTATCATCTACAATCAGAGTTTCTATGTCTGTTAAAAAACACACAATGATTATTAACCTCATAAAGTAATTTAATATTTGTGTCCTATCAAAGCTAAGGAAAACTGGGTTTAAAAAAATCAAATGACAGTTATCTACTAATAATACAGACTGGTCAAGCATATTGATAAATGGGATCATTTTGGTTTTGTTTTTACAGATTTGTTTTTTGTTGTTGTTTAACTATTTTAAAAGGCAGAGATACAGAGAGAGAAGGAAAAACAGAGATCTTTCATCCACCGGTTCACCTTCTAAATGACTCCAACAGCCAGGACCAATCTGAAACCAGGAGCCATGAGTTTCTTCCAAGTCTTCCAAGTGGGTACAAAAGCCCACTTGAGCCATCCACTACTGCTGACCAGGTGCTAAGCAGAGAGCTGGATTGGAAGTGAAGTAGCAGGGACATGAACCAAGGCTCGTACATAATGCCAGTGCCACAGGTGAAGGCTTAGCATGTTATGCCACAGTGCTAGTCCCACTACAGTGTCTTAAATAATTCATAATGAAACAAGTAGAACTCTTTAATCTTTTATTTTTCAAGATTTTAAAAATTCATCTATTTAAGTCAGAGTCAGAGAAAGAGGTAGAAAAGGCAACAGACAGAGATCTGCCCCTACTGGTTTGTGTCCCAAGTGGCACAATGAGCAGCAAGGGGCTAGTTCGAAGCCAGGAGCTTTATCCAGAATTCCTACATGGGTATCAGGGACCAAAACATTTGGGCCATCTTCCTCTGCTCTCCAGGCTATTACCAGGGAGCTGGATTAGTGGCACAGACAGTGGCTTTACTCATTAAAGCACAATACTGGGATGATAAGCCTTTTACCTTTAAGAACCATCTATTAAAGTGTCATGAGATGGCGGCTGGGGGAGTTTGGGAGGAGTTCGGTCCTTGGGCTCTGGGGCAACTGACGCTCCCTGCAGTGTGGCGACTGTGGGGGGTGCCCCTGCCGGGTCGGACCCAATGTGGGGGACTCACGCCAAAGACACTGCCACAAGGCAGTGAAAGAGTCCTCGGCCTCCCCCAGGACCCAAGAGAGCTCTTCCCTCAGGGTAAGTCCGCCATGAGGGAACTTGGGAACTGGGTGGAAATTCCTAGCTCCGCCCTGCCGCTAAGACCATGCGGCTGGGGGAGTTTGGGAGGAGTTCGGTCCTTGGGCTCTGGGGCAACTGACGCTCCCTGCAGTGTGGCGACTGTGGGGGGTGCCCCTGCCGGGTCGGACCCAATGCGGGGGACTCACACCAAAGACACTGCCACAAGGCAGTGAAAGAGTCCTCGGCCTCCCCCAGGGCGGCCAGTGCACCAAATGGTGTCATGCATTGCCTGCTGGCCGCCCGGAAGGGCGAACTCTGGGGTTTTCAAGATATGTAGTTGCTGCCTGGGGTCACTCATGACTAAGACTAGGTTGAGTGTAGGTGCAAAGTGAATTTTCGGGTATTCTCCGTGACAGGGTCATGAAAGATTTAAGCAGGCAAGGGGACCAAGACTTAGTGGTTTGGGGGAAGTGTCCAGAAGATAATTTTAGTAAGACAGATGCAACAGCTCAATTATGAATACAGAGATGGGATATTAGTATAGAACATCACTGATCACCACATACTAGCCCACACTGAAGCTATGGATGGGGGCCTCTTTGGCAGTGTTGGGTACCATTGCCCGACTGAGTGTTGGAGTTGTGGAGTGGTCACATTTGGCAGGATCAAGACACTATCCAGCACACAAGAGAACTTTGGCTGGGGGTAGACTCTGTGGGGTTGTGTGGGCCCAACCCTTTGGAATACAAGTCCCCCGGGTTAGTTCCCAAGCTGGGGTTGCAATGGTCTAAGCTAGGTGTGACCACGCCATCTGCCATCACTCATGGGTAAAGGAATCCACAACAGTCAGGGTAGGTCAAGGCAGCAGCACCCAAATGTGCATCTTTAAATAGGATGTGGGGTGGGCCGGGCTGCCACTGGAAGGGGGCAGAATGGGCAGGGCTGAACAAACCTTAACTCACAAGAAACAACAGAAATCAGGTTGGAGCACAGCTCATGCCAGGTAGGTCCTTGCACATACTGATCTGTGTGAGGCAGAGGCACTAAGCCACAGCATCCAAGGGGCCAGGACAAGTGAGGGGCTCTGCCAAGCGGAGACAGACCAACCACTGGCCTACACCTGCTCTATGGCAGGGCAGAGGCCCGGTTGGGGAAATAACAGGACACCCTAGCTGGGTTGAGTTTCCCACCAAGGAGCGCATGGGCTGGAACTGAGGCTACATTCTGATCAGGATACGATCGTAATCTCACTTGGCACAATTGTGGACTGGGATGGGAAGCACCAAGCCAGGCCAAATTCCAACACCATCTGGTGCTCTGGAGGACCGGGGAGGGTTGTGTGACAGACTAGGTTAGGTCTCAGCCCTTACTGAACCATGTGTGAGCTGGGTAGGGGTATGGAAGAGCCATGGCTGGGTTGAAATATCCAACAACAAGAACCAGCTTGGGTCGGAGGCCAGGCAGGAAAAGCCACTGTTCCTCCTAGGATAGCAGGCGAACTGAGTAGTGCTGGCTCATGGACCCACTGGTATGCGCGAAAACTGGCAGTGGGAGAGGTTCTGGTGGAGAAGCCTGGGCAACTTCTCTGGCAGGACACAGTCCCATGCAGGTAAGCGCAAGAAGCACAATAGGGAACAACCCAGAACAGGCAATGAAAATTATCCCACTGGCATACACATGGCATCGGTTGGAGGCAGACCAGCCTGAATCTGTTCACATTACCTTCTGGTGAATCCGAGCACCAGAACAGAGTGTGGGTCGAGCTGGGTTCGGTTGCAACACATACCAGTACACAACAAGTAATGCCAAGGTGAGATGAGCCGTACCAGATGTGGCTGCAGCACACAAACAGCACATGTGACAATCAGGGAGGAGGCAAAGCCAACAGGGGAACGTGGGCACCCCTGCTGGATAACTACTTCCATTGGAAAGTGTGAATACGGATGGGGGCAGTTCAGACTAGGCAGGGCTATAGCACCTGTGGGCCTCACGGTGAGTTGACTGTTCTGACTGGTGCAAGTTAAAATTAGAGTGGGTTGAGGGGTGTTTGGGCTTAGCCACAGCATTAGCTGGCAGAGGCTGGTACTAGGAGCTAATTCTGTCAAGTCAAATGCCAAAACCACCTGGAGACTGCATACTCTGGGAGTGGGTGTGGCCTAGTAGGGAAATAGTGGGCACCTCCCTCAGGGTTACCACCCTCACTGGACAGCACGAAACCCAGGCTAGGAGCAGGGGTGGCTTGACAGAAAGGCACCTGCCAGTAGGTGTATGGGCTGGATAATAGGTTGGTTGGGTTGAACTAGGCTTCAATGTCCATTGACGTGTGCGAGAGCTAATTGGGATGTGGTACAGACTGGACAAGCCTGCAGTGCATACTGGCAAGCATGGGAACCAGGGTAGGGGGCAGAACTGGTAGGGGTTTTGGGGAGTCGCCCCAACTAGGCTGCAGCTCCAACTGGTTTGCGTGAAGACCGAGTATGAAGTGGGTAGAATCGAGCCGGACTACAACACCCATTGGTTCACAAGGAAGACAGGGCTGGAAGCCGAACGGACCCAGTAATCGCAACGACCAGCATATGCATAAGCTGCTTGGTGTGAAGCACAGTGTTGGAGTCTGTACTAGCAAACTCACTCAAGAATCAGATCTGGGATCAACTCAGATGAAGTTTCTTTGGATATTTCTCGAACTGAACTGCTGATCTTGGAACCCCAACCATCAAGAGACTGTCAGCCAGTGGACTCTGAATAGGTTTCATTTCGGTTGGGACGGAGAGATTGGCAGCAATCCAGAACTGATGAACTATCAAAACTCTATGAGCAGGACCCTTGGAGCACGCCTCATGCTGGGGATCGGGGATGGGTGGGAGGTAGGGTGGGGCTTTCCCCATTGTTACTCCCCTAACCCTAGATACAGGGCAAAATGATTATATTAATGTGGAAACAATGATATTACCCACTTTCACCCTGTAGCCCGTGACCCTTTGTACCCTAATAAACTAAGAAAAAAAAAAAAGTCCAAATGTAATAAAAACATGAAAAAAAATAAATAAATAAAGTGTCATGAGATACTATCTGGAAGACTTCACTGACTTACTAAAATAAGTCTCGAAAAGAAGTGGTGGGCATAGCACAGTAGCCCAGCAGCTCAAGTCCTCGCCTTGCACACACCAGAATCCCATATGGGCACTGGTTTGTATCCCGGAAGCCCCACTTCTCATCCAGCTCCCTGCCTGTGTCCTGCAAAAGTAGTTGAGGATGGCCCAAAGCCTTAGGATCCTACACTCATGTGGGAGACCTGGAAGAGGCTCCAGGCTCCCAGCTTCAGACTGTCTCAGCTCCAGCCATTGTGGCTACTTGGGGAATCAATCAACAGATGAAAGATCTTCCCCTCTGTCTCTCCTCCTCTCTGTATATTTAAGTTTCCATAAAAATAAATAAATCTTACCAAAAAAAGAGAGAGAGAGAGAAGAAGAAGTGGCACACTATAAAACCTCACCTATTGGGGCCAATGCCATAGCATAGTCAGTTAAGCCTCCATCTGTGATACCACCATACCATAAGGGTGTCAGTTTGGGTCCTGAATGCTCCATTTACAATCCAGTTCCGTCCAATTCCCTGCTAATGCACCTAAGAAGGTACCAAAAGATGGCCCACATGCTTGGGACCCTACACCTACATGGGAGACCAGGATGAAGATCTTGGCTCCTGGCTTTAGATCAGTCCATCTCCAGCCACCGCAGCCAATTGGGATGTGAGTCAGTAGATCAAGATTCCTCTCTCTCTCCCCACCTCTCTCTCTTTCAAATCTGCCTTTCAAATAAAAGTAAATCTAAAAAAAAAAAAAAAAACTCTCGTTTAACTAAAAAACTTTTAAAGCAATTTTGGCCCAAATTCTCCTCATTAAAACAGTATACAATGGTTCCATTCCTGGTTCCAGCTTCCTGGAAATGTATATACTGTGCAACAGCACAGAACGGCCTGGGACAGAAGTATTTATTTGAAAGACAGATCAACAGGCAGAGAGAGAAACAGAGCTTTCTACCTCTTTCACACACTAGTTAATTTACCACATGCCTGTAACAAGCAGGGTGGGACCAAGTGGAACCAGACTGGACCAGGCTGGACCAGGCACCAAAGGACCATCTGGGTCAGTCACCCACACAGATGAGAGGAACCTAGTACCTGGGCCATCCTCTGCTGCCTTCCCAGGCACATGAGAAAGGAATTGAATCTGAAGCAGGGAACTGGGAGCAAGGAGCAGGGAACTATATTTGAAGCTAACCAGCATTCTGAAATAAAATGCAGGTGGTTAAACCCACTGTTCCACAACAACTATCCCCATGTAGTATTTCATGCAAGTCTATCTCTACCACAGGAAAGTTTCTGAAAAATACATTTATAATGACAACAAAACCTATCTAATGATGTGCATCCCAAATTTTAATTTTTTTCCCTGAAAATTATGTTTTTAATATAAGCGTTCTGTTTTTAAGCTCAGGTCCAAAGTACAATCTGAGACTTGAAAGAATCCAGGACCTTCCATAATCAGGATCTAATTTACTTCCTTATCAATAGTTCATATTCCAATCAACACAGCACAACACAATACAGAGCTGCCAACAACAAAACATATCTGATGTGCTGAATCCAAAAGGAATTCAAGTGACTTATATTAAGAGTAGGGAAGTAGGGGATGGGAGGATACTGGCAGAACTGAGCAGTAGCTCAAGAGGTTAATTCTCTACCCTGTGGTGCCAGCATCCCATATGGGTGCCAATTCATGTTCCAGCTGCTCCCCTTCCCATCCAGCTCCATGCTATGGCCTGGAAAAGCAGCAGAGGATAGCCCAAAGGCTTGAGACCCTGCACCCATGTGGAAGACCTGGAAGAAGCTCCCTGGCTCCCAGTTTCAAACAGCTCAGCTCTAGTTGTTGCAGCCATCAGGAGGATGAATCACCAGATTTAAAATCTCTCCATCTCTCCTTCTCTCTCTATAAAATCTGCCTTTCAGATAAAATTAAATGAATCCTTATAAAAATTTTAAAAAGGGTATGGCATCTACAATCAAGCTCCCTACATTTGAGCAGGCTCCAGAACTTACTAAGTGATCACAATAGGGAAAATTACCATCCTAAGTTACCCAGTCTTCTTCTCTATATAATGAACTTCCAACCCACAGAACTGTTACAATTAATAAATAACAATTAATATAAGAGCTTTATAAAAATAATGCAAGTCATTATCACTATAGTCAATGTTATAAAAATTGTAATATTAGGGAGATCAAAATATTCCAAGAGTAAATATTCATTAATTCATTCATCTTATAACATTCACTAGATACCACCACATGCCAGGCCTAGATCATGTATTTTACATATTCAAAGCAAACACAAAAGCATAAGACACAATCTTATTGGAAAACTCTGCTGATTCATGCCTGTATTTGTTTCAGTTCAATACTATGAAAAAGGAGTTTGTAGTACCTTCCTTCTTGTCACTCTGGCTAATTTCAGCATGAGGAAACACTTTTTGCAAAACTGCAAGGATGTTATTGAAGCTTCTTTCTAGCAGAGGTCTTATAATGGGGGACAACGCATGTCCCGAAGACATCACAGCACGCTGGGAAGCAGGCACAATGTTCTGCATTGCATGGTAGAAGTCCTGGGCACTGAGCACTATGGAGGACACATCCAGTTGCAGCTTGTGGCTGCTGGCATAGATCTGTGGGTAACGCCTCCGGAGGGCAATGAGGGCAGCTTCCGTGCACAGTGCCTTGATGTCAGCTCCACAGTAGCCTAATACACAGAAGGAAAAGAACAGCAACACTCAGTGCATTCTTCCAAGCACCAACAATGTTTATCTAAAATAATGGCAAATATGTTCAATTTTATTAGTAAAATAAAAACGAATCAATTAAAACCATGTACCAAAATTATTAAAATAGGGGTTAAATACCCATTGAAAGTAAAAATGCTTTTAGTAATTTAACAAAAACATAAACTAGTAAAATTAAAACAAACCATAAATTACAGGTTAAAAACCTCTGGCTACAAGATATAACTTTTTAAGGAAAGGTCTGGGGCCAGCACTGTAGCACACAACAGTTAAGCCACTGCTGCAATGGCAGCACCCCCTAGGAGTGCCAGTTCAAGTCCTGGATGCTCCACTTTGGTCCTGCTCGCTGCTAATGCACCTTAGAGAAGAGCAGGCGATGGCCCAAGTTCTTGAGCCCCTGGCATCCACAAGGGAGACCGAGATGGAGTTCCAGGCTCCTGGCTTCAGCCTGACAGAGCACTGGCCACAGCATTCAATGGGGAAGATCTCTCTTTGCATCTCTCCCCAACCTCTCTGTAATTCTACCTTTCAAATGAATACATATTTTTTAAAAAATCAAAGTTTCATTTCATTTTTCCACCAATATTCCATATCAGTTTAGTCCTCATTACATTATGCTAACATACGTTAATATTATTCACTCCCAAACACATATAAAAGAGCAATACAAAGTAAAATATAAGCAGAAACTTCAAAAAGAGAACTATTTCCATGCCGATTTTAAGTGTAACCTACTAATTATCACAAAAAGGACAATTTAAAATTCATCTCTGATACTTTCAAAGGCACTAAAGGAATAAGAATGCTAAAAATTAAAACCTCTAGTGATGTTCCATATTAGCTTAAAATGACTGACAACGTAGGACTCAGGCTATATCAACTCTGGGTCTCTATCACCTATACTGAACAGATGATGTAATTAAACAAAAGAGCAGGTCCCAGGAATTTTAAGCCATTTTATTCATCTTGGCAACAAATACATCCATACGAAAACACAGGAACTGTGAGATCTTCATCAAAAAAGCAATGAAAACTCTCAAATTAACTAAACGTTGCTGTCCTTTACATAGCAATTAAATTTGTATTTTACCACCCTTATCAGTTCTGCCAGTAGGGGGAACCACTTGAACTAGTTATAGAACACTCCTACAGGGACAGGTTTGAGAGTTCACAATGTTTTTATAGCCAACACTGAAATAAAACAGTGATTATAATAAGAAAATTTTTCTCAGAGTCAGGGGAAGCTTAGTATAATCTATGAAAGTATCACTCAGAAAACTCCCAGCAAGTGACATATGAACACTGTTCCCTGACCATGATCCATCTCTCAGGAATTTTAATAGAGCCAGATTCATCACTAATTTCTACTTTTATATTATAGTTCTCCATTAGTCAACATGAAAAACAATGACCTTTACCCTTTAAATATAGATCTGTTACATAAATTCAACAAAATGAACACAGGATACCTGCCCAAAATTATACAGAGTTAACAAATTAATACAAAAATCTAATTAAAGCCTGAGTTCTGTCTACCATATCAGAGGACATACAGGGTATTTCCATTTCTTTCCTTTCCTTAACTGCATATACAACTATGAAACATAGTATAAGGTCCTATTTTAAGTGCAAAGACCTCAGTTTAAAAAATGCTTAGAAATAATTATGACAGTGACTAAAGGCATTTTCTGCAGTAAATGTTATAACACTGATACTGCCTTCATGTTAATTATACAACATTGATATGTTTAACTTTTACCTAATTTATTCAATAATTAACAATAATAATTCATGTACTAAATTTTCACATGTATTATCATAACCAATGGCCCCTAACAGCAAATATCTTCTTTACACTTGTTTGTTAGTAAAAATTAATGGTTTAAATCTGTGGTTGCCAACTTCAATATAAATCTGAGTCAATAATTAAAAACCAGATTCACAAGCCTAACAATAAATGTAGCAAATCAGATTCTCTGGTGAGTTAAATCATGTATGTGAATTTGAGCAAGTTTTAGAATCAATTCTGATACAGGCAAAAACAACAAGAACTAGTGACTTAATATGGTTCCTTCACTAGACACTAAAACAGAATTGGAGCGTATCAGAATCATGACTGGATACACAGGTCCTAATTAGCTTCATATTCTGTCATAATAATGTTTTTCACTGTCAAAAAGGACTTAATTTAGAAAATAAATGATACTGTCATTCTAGTAGTACCAGAACTACCCTCCATACTTTGAAGTGTTAAAAATTGATGTGACAATAAATACATCCTTTTCATATCACATCAATTCTATCAACATAATTCTAGCATGCTCAACACAAATGTCTAGATAACAAAGCATTCTTGAATGTTGCTATCATATAGATAATTTTCTGAAAGACTAAAAACATAACTATTAAGGAGGTTAGAACACAAAAAAGTCATAAAATCTATAGCTCTTTTAAGCACAACATCAAACATAAGGAAGGTACATAAGATATTGCATTGATACATATTCATTAGCCCTCTCGTTGAAAATGGAATATAGGGTTGAATTCTTTAACTCAAGCTCTACAACTGTTAAAAAAAAAAAAAAAAAGTTCTTCATATCAATGTTTGTTGAGAAGTTTTTCACTAGTCAAATGACATAGCCTTTTTTTGCATGCAAAAACCTTCAGGTGCTTGGGAATTTAATCTCAAAATAAAAGTTACCAAACCCATAACCTATAATAAAAGGTCAGCTATCTTTGTAGTTGTTCATGAAGACTGCACAAACTTTTGTTAAGTGTAAACTACTGAACTAAACCCATACATGTTAAAACAAGGTAAGGATATATAAACTGATGAATTCACATGGATATAAAATTTAGTAATACTTCATTCCTACTATAACACCTGCATTTGATATATTTTTTTAAATGGAATAAATGTTACAACCAAAAACAGAAGTCATTTAGTTGCAATGGATTTCCATGTCACTACCCAGGAAGAAAACGGTAGAGAAGCAGATTATACATATCAGCACCATCTGCAATGTAGAGTTGGGGGAGACAACAGAAGTTTTTCAATCTTGTAAGATTATGTCATGAAAATTTAAAACCTTAAGAAAGTGACTAAATGTTACGTCATTTGGGAAAAGAGGGAAGTACTGACCTTTAAAAATGCAAAACCACTAAGACCCCAATATTTCAAATGAAGAATTAAACAGAGTATATAAAATTTCAGATGGTAAATATAATACTAAGTCATCTCAGAATACCTATCTCTTAAGGAATTTCCAAAATTATTTGAAGACTTCTGCTTATTTTACTTAAGGATTATTCTGCTTGGGCCCGGTCTGGTAGCCAAACAGCTAGAGTCCTTCCCTGCATTGAGCACATGTCAGGATCCCAGGATGGGCATTGGTTCTAGTCCCAGCAGCCCCACTTCTCATGCAGCTCCCTGCTTGAGGCCTGGGAAAGGACCCAAAGCCTTGGGACCCTGCACCCATGTGGGAGACCTAGGGGAGACTACTGGCTCCAGGCTTAAGATTAGGGTAGCTCTGGCCGTTGCAGCCAGTTGGGGGATGAATCAACAGACAGAAGATCTTCCTCTCTGTCTCTTCTACTCTCTGTATATCTGACTTTCCAATGAAAATAAAATAAATCTTTTAAAAAAGGGGTAGGATATTATTCTGCGACAAATACACAGAAAAATCTAAAAAGACTTTTCAGTCTGATCTGAACTCTGATACAATAATATAAGTAAAAGTGGTCCAGTTACAAAAAGGGGAAAGATTGGGTTTTTGTTTTGCTTTGTTTTTACCAAATACCACCCTCTCCCATAAAGCAGCAGAAGGCTTTGCAAAGGTCAAGCCAAATTCACATGAAATGGGTTTGGCGCATGCTCTCTTATACCAGGCAAAGCTTAAACTGTAGTAGTGCTGGAGATATATACGTTTTTCTCCTCACCAGAAGATGTCGAGGTCTTTGTGGTTCAAAAGCTGAGGGATGCTGCTTCGGAGATGGAGGTCCCTGTGGATGAAGAGGATAATTCGGATGTAGCTAACTGAATGGACTAAGGTTCTGTTTAAGTTTTCATTATCTGATGGTGGATTGCAATGATTCTTTAGCTAAACTTTTCTTTTTGGTTTTGGTAACTTTCAAGTATTCCCAAGTAGACTATTGTTAGTGGACTTATTTGGGAGAAAGATTTTGAAATATATATGTCATTTTTTGAGAAAATGAGAGGAAAACAGACAAAAGAGGGGGAAAAAAGCATCTATATGTATACTTGGTTCCTTAGCTTTGTGCCCCTGTGTATTACAAACCTAATTAGAGCCAAAACCCTGAATTCCATCTCCTATGCATGACCATCTGTGTACGGAAGTACTCTCTCATCACATCCTTTTAGGACAGCAGAGTTCATTCACTCTGTAGAGAGATCTTCCACTCTGTGAAGAACTTTATTAAATTGGACAGCTTCATAATTTAGAAAAAATTACCAAATTCCACTTGGTATCTTCTTGAAGAGCCCTCCCACCCAACTTCTTTTTAGAGCACATGAATGAAGATGATGAGCCCACTGTGAAATCTGAAAATAAAAAACTGTAGTCCTGACTCAGACATGAGGATTCCTCTGTCAAATTTAATCTATTTTTCTTAGTAAAATTTCTGAAAGGGAACAATTCCTAAAAGTAGATGTTGTAATATTATGAATACCCAGCACTCCATGAAAGGCTTGTTACCACTGAGCTTTATTAATCAAATAATTTAATGGCAGTGTCAAGGCTTTGTGTGAAATACTCTAAAATGGTTTAAATATAAAGGTAAAACAAGCAGTTGCACAAAGACTGTACTCATTCGCGTTCCATACATAAGGGAAAAGAAAGGCTGCACGCAAAAAAAAAAAAAAAAGGCAATCCAAGAATTCTAACAGTAGCACTCACCAACACATTTTTCAGCCAATTCATCTAAAAAAGCATCAGATAATTTTGGATTCCAGTCCCTGGTATGGATCTGTAAAATGTGTTTTCTTGCCTAAGAAGAAAAGCACAAGTTTAAAAACCATGTCTGAGAAGAAAAGTGTAGACAAGTAACAACTTCTCAAATGTATAAAAGCTAAATAAAACAAATTTTACCAAGCCTGGCACACAAAACAATTGTTTCATTTGAAATCTGAACACTTCAATACCCACATCAACTTATCTCTGGACATAACGCAACTCATTTTCTGAGGATAGGAATTTGATGGATTTTACAAAATAACTCAGTCATCCAGGACCAGAATTCAAAACTAAGTTTTGCTTTTCCACTATCATATCATTTTTTATCACATGAACCATGGTGTATTATAAGCACAACTTTCAAACTTTATATGTACATTTTGTAAAACTTATGGTTCCTCCTATCATCTGCATAAACTACTATGACAACAAACAACAATGACAAGTAATCATAACCAATTTTACCTTAATTTTTTAAAACATTTGAATCAGTTGAAAGGCAGAGAGATGCACAGGAAAACATACACAGACAAAAAAGGCAGCATTCCCACCTGCTGCTTAGTCCCCCAAATGCCCTTGAAGACCAGGACCAGACTAAATAGAAGTCAAGGGACTGGAACTCCACACAAACTCCCATGTCGATGGCAGGAACCCAATCCAAACTATCACTTGCTGTCTCCCAGGGTGTGCACAGCAGGAAGTTTGAACTGGGAGCCAAGGGGCTGGCAGTGGCATAGCAGATAAAACCATTGCCAGTGCTGCGGGCATCCATATGGACAGTGGCTTGAGTTCCAGGTGTTCCACCTCAAATCCAGATCCCTGCTAATGAGCCTTGGAAAGCAACAGAGGATGACTCAAGCGCTTGGGACCTGCACCCATGCGAGTGAGAAACCTAGAGGTGTTCTTTAAGGAGAAACACACACACACACACACACACACACACACACACACACACACACACACACACACACACACAAATAAATTAAGTTGAGAAAGATCTCAAAGAGACCAATTTCTTTCCATCTTTGAGACAACAGAAGGAAAAGACAGAGTATTCCACCCAGCAGTTCACTCTCCCATTGCCTACAACAGCCAGGGCCAAAGCCAGGAACCCAATTCAGGTCTCACACATAAATTGCAGAAATGCAATGACTTAAGTCATCCATCACCTTTGGCTCTCAGGGTCTATACTACCAGGAAGCTGAAGCCAAAAACTCGAGTGAGAATGTAAAACCAAGAACTGAATGCAAGTACTCTGAAATGGGACAAAAGCATTTTTACCAGTGTCTTAAGCTAGTCTAAACACTTGACCCAGAAAACATTTATTCTTATTCCCTCACTCCACAAAAATAAGTAAATAAAGGTTTAAATGAAATCAATCACCCATTGTTTGCAAATTGTTGTCAGGTCTTAAAACATCTAAATATCTTGCTGTTTCTCTATATAACCCAACCAGAATTGCCTTTCTTGTTATCATATTAAGAACAAGACACAGAACCGAGAGACTATTTAAATTAAAATATCCACTATTCATTTTGCTCTACATGGCACACAATATAAGAAGTCAAATACTTATACTAAGTATTTTCTATTAAGAGTCAAACAGGAGCCAGCATTGCAGCCATAGCAGATTAAGCCATCAATTGCAGCAAGATGGGATGAGTTCACATTGCTCCTGGTGATGTAGTAATGTGCCAGGGAAGGCAGTGGAGGACAGTCCAGAGCCTAGGCCCTTAATACTTGTGCAGGAGACCCAATGAGCTGCTGGCCACTGGCTGCTGGCTTCAGCTTGACCCAGCCCAGGCCATTGTGGCCATTTATGGAGTAACCAGCGGATGGAAGATCTCTGCCTCATCCCCCACACCTCTCTTTCTCCTCCTCACTCTGTAACTCTATCTTTCAAATACATAAAGTAAATCTTTAGAGGGGAAAAAAAAAAGCCAAAGGCAAGTATAAGCCCCTCATTTTTTAAGATTTACAATATACACACAACACTTATAATAATAATGATGACAAAGGAAAAGAAAAAAATTAAAAAGCATTAATACATGCAGAAGCTATATAATATATATGTAATATTTTATGCTAATAGTTAACAAAATTAGAACCAAGAATCGCTCTTATTAATATTTTACTTGCTTAAAGGACAAAAGTCGTCATATACGCTGTTGCTGAAATCATAGGAACAAGGTTGACTAGTATCACTTTAAATATAACATCTACCCAGCATGTGCATCCATATACAATATCCTCTGACTACCACAGATGAATTAGCCACCTAGAATCTAAACTTACTCTTGCCACTTGCACACTAAAGCCTATGTCCTCCAGCCTGTGAAGGACGTCAAGAATAATGTCTCTCATATGTTAAACAAAACTTCTTGTCTTGTCCCCTACCAAATCTTACCGTCTCAATTCATTGCAATGAAACGCTTAAAAAAAAAACTGACGTAGTGGCCAGCGTTGTGGTGCAATGGGTTAAATCATGCAGTAGCATCCTACATAAATATCAGTTTATCCCAGCTGCTCCCTTCTGATCCAGCTCTCTAGTAATAGCCTGAAAAAATAAAGGAAGTTGGCCCAGCTCCTTAGGTCCTTGCACCCAAGTGGGACACCTAGATGAAGCTTCTGGCTTCTGGCTCGGGCATAGCCCAGTCCTGGCCACTATAGTCACTGGAGAGTAAACCAATAAATAGAAGATTTCTCTCAAAAAATTAAGGTAAAATTGTTTTGCTCTTTCTCCCTCTATGTAACTCTGCCTTTCAAATAAACAAAAGAAGGAAAACAAAATTTATCTATGTCCACAGAGCTTCCAATTCTTTCCTTCTTTTTCTCTCTTGAAATCATTCTGCTACAGTCAAACTTTTATACCCACCATTAGCAAAACAGCTTTAATTATGTTCATGAATGACTGACCTAAGACTAAACAAAGGACGGTTTTCTGTCCTCATCTGATTTGACTTACCAACATATGACAGTTTATCACACACTGCTGTCCGGACTTGTTTACTATTAAACCCTGCACTTGAGTGTCCTGTGACGGGTCCGTGCAGACTAACTGGCACACTGAACCTTCTCAACAAGGACAAAAAAAATTGGAAATAGAGAAAATAACTTTCCTGTGCTGAAATGAACATTGGCTGCATCTCTTTAACTTGGCACTTTCTCATGTACTGAAAGTCTAAAAATGTGTATAGTCAATTTTTTGCTTCTATCAGATGTCATAAACAACATAGGCAATGTTCCCTCATGCTGAAACAGGCTTTACCCACTTCAGTCCCGTCCCTTACAATTGCTCCATGCAATGGCAACTTCTCAGAACATACACTTCAACAATGAAAATAAAAATATATAAATCATAATGTACTGAAAAAAAATTTCTCACCTTTTGATCAGGCAAATTGAAAAGGAACTCTCTGTCAAAACGACCAGGTCTCCTGAGTGCAGGATCTATGGAGTCAAGTCTGTTTGTAGCACCAATAACAACAATTTCACCCCTATTATCTAATCCATCCATAAGGGCAAGCAGAGTTGAGACTATAGAGCTGTAAAAAAAATTTACAAGCAAATTTGAAATTTTTTAAAAAGGGGAAAAAATGGTAAACAACAATAAACATAGCTGCTGACAATATCCTCCATCAATTTTAAATGTTAATAATTGTAGCATGAATATATATAATTCAAAATCAAGTAATTTTTAATAAATTATTTTATAAATACTAAAAACCAAAAAAACCCTAAGCACACAGCCTAAAGAGAGAAGAGAAAAAGGCAAAGAGATAGAAGGAAACATAAAATGGATTTCATCAAAATGAAGGACTTTCCTGCTTAAAAACACTGTCAAGAAAATGAAAACAAAATAAAGGGAAAATATTTGTAAATCAAAACAGCTAATAATGATCCAGAGTCTGAAGTATATGAAACTATTACAACTGAACAGCATAAACAATGAAATTTAAAAACAATGGGGTCCAGGCATTTGGCCTATGCCTAAGATGCTAAGTCGGGATGCCCACATTCCACATCAGAATGCCTAGGCTTCCGTTTCCAACTCCAGCTTCCTGCTGACACACATCCTGGGAAGCAGCAGAGGATGGCTCGTATGGTTAAGCACCTGCCAGCCACCTGAAAGACGCGGATGAGTTCCCCACTCCGGGCTTCAGGCTGACTCAGTCCTGGCTGTTGCAGGTACTTAAGGAGTAAACCACCAGATTGGGAATCAATCGATCAATCTCTCCCCCCACCCAACCCCACTCCCTCCTCTATTTCTATTCTTTCTTTGCGTCTCAAATAATTCAAAAGTAAACTATTTAAATCTACGTATTTCCAAAGAACATAGAGAACACACCATTACATTAGGCATACACAAACAAAATGAGATACTACTTTAGGCCTACTAGGCAGACTACAATCAAATAACTTGTGTTTGTGAAGGTACAGAGAGACTGGAACAGTTTTCCACTGCTTGGCTGGGATGTTAAATCAATGTCTCACGGTAAGTATTTAGCATGGTGGCTATAACTCTGAGGACAACTTCCCATACTGGAGGGCCAAGGTTCCAATCCCAGCAGCACTCCTGATAGCATCCTAGAAATGCATACCCCAGGAGGTAGCAGATGATCTACTGAAAAGCATTAATGAAAAAGAAAAGACAATTTAAGAATATTCAGCCAAGAGCCTGGTGCAATAGCCTAGTGGTTAAGGTCCTTGCCTTGCACACATCGAGAACCCATATGGGCACCAGTTCGTATTCCAGCAGCCCCATTTTCCACCCAGCTCCCTGCTTGTGGCTTCAATACTATAAGTTGCTAAATATAAAAACAAAAACAGATATGAGACATCTGAATAGTACCCTATAACCATTCTAAGGTATATAGCAGCTGGAGGTGCATAAACTGAAACTGAAATATCAATGAAGTAGTCACAGGATGTGGTTAAGAACTTGCATTTTCTAACATATCAGTTACTCAATACCATGTCAATCAATTCCACGATGTTATGAATTGTTACTGATGTTGTATTGTAGCTTTACATGGGAGGAGATGATATTCTACCAGCTCTACTTTCAGACAAAGGATGGTCTCCCAATGAAACTGTTGAATTTATCTGGACAATAGGATGCTGGACTCTATGCATGGTCATGCCCGCAATAAAGGAATTATGACTGGATATGAACTGATCCACTGCAACGATGTGGAGGAATCCAACATGGGGGGAGGGCTTGAGGAGGGGTTGGGGAAATCCCAGAGCCTAACAAACTGTGTCATAAAACAAAAAAAATAAATAAATAAAAATAAAAAACAGGTCTAAGTGACAAGGAAATTTGTCACATTGTTTCAGGAAGGTAAAAATCAACATATATATATATATATATAAAGTACATACTTTCTTTTTGGAATAAATATGTACCTGTAAGACCATTACCACAACTAAAATAAACACTATATCATCATGTACTTAAACACTTTGAAATCCAACTTCCTGCCCTCTTACCTCCCTGATCCACCTCAGTCAACTCATGACCTGAGTTCTATCAATGAACATTATTTTGCATTACCTAAAATTTTATACACAAAGAATCACACAGCAAGTATTTTATTGGATTAATGAATTCATGCATTTCTCTAAGATGCATCTACATTATTGGCTTCATCTAGCTATTCATTTTTAAAGCTAAGTAATATAGCATTATATGATTTACCAGAATGTGTTTAATTTATTCATTCACATGTTAATGACCACCTCAATTTTTTTAAATTTTTGCTATTAGCAAAAAAATATATATATACAACAAAGATTTTCCTTTTTTTTCTAAAAAATTTAAACTTTAAAAAGTATTTTACTTATTCTTTCAGAAACACTGAGATAGGAAAAGTTTCTTTCTGCCATTCGGCCCTGCAGTACCAACAATACCAGACAGAATCCAGAGCTAAGAACTCAATCCAGGTTTCCCTTGTGGAGCCATCATCTGCTACATCTCAGGGTGTATATAATCAGGAAGCTGAAACTAGGAACCTACTAGAACCCAAGCCCAGGTATTGCATCTCAGAGAATGGGAAGCCCAAACAGTGCTTAATCACATCACAAAACATTCACCCTAGTTCCTAAACTCTACTTGTTAGTCTGGCATTATGACTAAATGGGTTAAGCCACTGCCTATAATGCCACCATCTCATTTGCACTGTTCCACTTCTGGTCCACCTTCCTGCTATTGTGCCTAGGAAAACAACAGAAGATCAAATCCTTGGGTCCTTGCACAGAAGTGGGGGACCTGAGAAAAAGCTCACTTCAGTCTAACCCAGCCCTCCCTGTTGCAGTCACTTGAATGAAACCAGTGGATAGAAGATTTATCTATCTCCATCCTCTCTCTCTTTCTCTAATTCTGCCTTTCAAATAAAATAAATCATTTTTAAAAGTCAAAAAAACAACAAAAACTTAGCTTAGAAACAAACTTTAAGTGTGTTCAGAAACCAAAACAAAATTTTGTATTCCTAATAGTGCTTATTGGTGTCTATTGTGTCCAATCATACTAGAGTTCATAATCATTCATGCAGACCAGCTTTATTAGTGGCATGGTGGGTAAAGCTGCCACCTGCAACAGCAGCATCCCATATGGGACACGAGTTCAGGTCACAGCTATTACACTTCTGATCCATCTCTCTGATAACCTTCTTATGAAAACAGTAGAAAATGGCCCAAGGACGTGTGCAAAGTCATGAGTAGTTCCTCCTTTGTCTCTCCTCTTCCCCCAGGAACAGCAAGAAGAAATAGCAAATTTAGAAGCAATGAGTTTACCCAACTTTCCCTAAACCTCGATCCTTCCCACCCTGATCCACCATGTAATCATTATCTAAAAAAAAAAGAAGAAGAAGAAAAAAATGTCCCAAGTCCTTGGGCTCCTGCATCCATGTGGGCGACCCTAAAAAAGCGTCTGGCTCCTGGATTTGCACTGACCCCTATTCAGCAGCTGTAACCATTTGGAGAGTGAAACACTGCACGGAAGATTCTCTCTCTCTCTCTCTCTACCTCTCTACCTCTCCTTCTTTTTCTGTAACTACCATTGAGATAAAAATTTAAAAATAAATCTTAGGGAAAAAAATGGCCAGACAAGTGCAGTATTGATCAAAACAGTACTGCCAGGGCACGTCTGCGGTGTAGTAAGTAAAATCTCTGCCTGCATATGGACACCATTTCATGTCCTGCTGCTCCACTTCCCATCCAGCACCCTGCTAGAATCCAGGGAAAGCAGTGGAACATGGCCCAACTGTTTGGGCCCCTGATATCTGTACAAAAGATCCTATGAAGCTCCTGGCTCCTAGCTTCATCCCAGCCCTGCCCTGGCCATTATAGTCATCTGGGGAGTGAATCAGGAGAAAGAAGTGCTGTATTTCCCACTGCGAATGCCACCCCACCTCTCTAACTCTTTTAAATAAATAAATCCCTATTTCTTTTTTTAAAAAAAAAAAAAGTTATTTTTATTGAAAAGGCAGATTGACAAAAAAAAATCTTCTATCTGCTATCTCACTCTCCAAATGGCCACAACGGCTGCAACGGAGCCAATCTTAAGCCAGGAGCCAAGAGCCAAAGGCTTTGGACCATCCTCGACTGCTTTCCCAGGCCACAAGCAGGGAGCTGGATCAGAAGTGATGCAGCCAGGAAATGAACTGGCATGCATATGGGATGCCAGAGCTATCACACTGGCCCCTAAAACTTAAGTTTGTAACAGAAAGAGAGAAAGAAGAGAGAGAAAATGGACTGATCCCATGGTAGAGCACGGTAAGCCTCTACCTAAGACTCCAGCATCCCATATAGGTGCTGCAGCAAGGCCCAGTTGTTCCACTTCTCATCCAGCTCCTGGTAAACAGCCTGGGACAGCAGCAAAGTATGTCTCAAGAACTTGGGCACCTGAACCCAGGTGGAAGACCCAGACGGAGTTATGGGCTCCTGGCTTCCATAGAACTCCTGAATAACCATTGTGGTCATTTGGGTATTAAATCAGTGGTGGAAGACTGTTCCTCTCTCTTTCTGTAACTCTGTTTTTCAAATAAAAATAAATTAAGTCTTTATTTAAAAAAAAGAAAAGATATAATGGGACTGATATGATGGCCTACTGGCTAAATCCTCATTGTACACACTCTGGTTTCCATCCAGCTCTCTGCTGGTAGCCTGGGAAAGTAGTAGAGGAAGGCCCAAAGCCTTGGGACCTTGCATCTGGGTAAAAGACCCGGAAGAAGCTCTGAAATCAGCTCAGCTTCAGCTGTTGCACCCATTTGCAGAGCAGACAAGATCTTTCTCTATGTCTCTCCTCTCTGTAAATCTGCCTTTCCAATAAAAACAAATAAATCTTAAAAAAAAAAAAAGACACAACAAATTATACTGACAACAAATGACACCCTGCAAAAGACTGGTGAACTGGAAAACACAGCAAGAGAAACTATACAAAATGAAACAAAGACAGCTCAGAGCAAAATTAGCAAAATATCAGTAACCTGTGCACATTATCATGTCATTCAACATATGGGTAATCAGAAAGCCAATGGGATAGAAAAGATGAGGCAGGAAAGACAAAAAGAAATATATGGACTAATAGCCAGAAACTTCACAACTTTGATTAAAACAAACTATTTACCCACATGTCCTAAATGTTTATCTAGGATAAAGAAAAAATAAGAAATGTCTATTAAGGAACATAATAAATCAACTTCATCAAACCAGTGGGGAGGTGGGAGAATGGAATTAAAATCTGCTGAGCAGCTAGTACTGTGACACAGCCGGTTAAGCCCATATGGGCACCAGTTCAACTCCTGGCTCCAATTCCCATTCAGCTCCCTGCTAATGTGTCTGGGAAAGCAGCAGAGGATAGCCCAAGTGGTTAGGCCCTTGCCCCCATGTAGAAGAGCCAGAAAAAGCTCCTGGCTTCTGGCTTCAGCCCATCTCAGCTCCAGCTGCTGGGCCATTTGGGGAATGAGCCAGTGGATGAAACATGTCTCTCTGTGTCTCTCCTTTTCTCTGTAACTCTATTTTACAATTAAATAATAAACATATCGTAAACAAAACAGCAATGAAAAAAATACATATTATACAGAAAGAAATACAGACACTCTAAGTCATTACAGTAGAATTCATTACTAACACCACACAAGTGAGGAGACACAACAAATAAATCTTCCAAAAACAATACAAAACAGACACACAGAAAAGTCAAAACTATAAGAAAATTTTCAGAACACAAATCTAACAAAGTATTTGTGTCAACAGAATATGAAGAACTCTTAGAAGGATATAAAGCCAGGTATTTTTTATTAAAGGGGACAACTTTAACATGCATTCACACACACAAAACATCAATCAGCTAAAAACACATTCAAAAAAGTTTAATATTATTAGTCATCAGAGAAATCAAAATGCTGACAAGGATGAAAAACAACTTTAACTCTCAAACACTGTGGAAATATTAAGTGGTATAACCACAGTAACAGACAGTATCGTGTCACCTTATAAATGTAAACATACATTTACCTAGGATCCAGCCTTTTTTGCAAAAGAAAGAAAAATGTGAACATCGTAGAAATATGATATCATAATAGTCAAAAATAAAAGTAAAATAAATCTCCATAAGATAGCCAATGAATAAGCAGAGGTACACACACGTACCAATCAAGGACTAATACTAAGAAATGCAAAGGAATGAAGCAATACATCACACAAATCTCAAAACATTACACTAAATCAGATAAGGCTACTCTTTCTATGAAAGGTCAAGTACTGCATACTTTACTCTTTCCAAGACATATGTTCTCTCTTTTACAACTATTTAACTCTGCCTTCATGGCACAAACTTTGTGATACTGATTGATAAAGAATTCAAATTGGCTGTTGTCCAATCAAACTTTATTTATTTAAAAAAAACTTGAGAGCTGAATTTGTTTCACAGGTTGTGGTATCCATATCACTGTGCTAAGTAAATTAAGTGTCCTCCAAATACTAAGATGCTTTGAAGCCTCACAGCACCTAGCCAAAGGCTAAGGTTAAATGTTAAGTCAATGAGTGGAAAAGAACTCAACAAAATCAGATTAGGAAAAATTACCTGTGGATCTGATCTTGTCTACTAGAGCGAACTGGAGCTAATCCATCTATTTCATCAAAAAATATTATAGATGGTCTCATCAAATATGCCTAGTAAAAAGAAAACAAAAGTTATTTACTGTACTATTTAGATTTTCTAAATTTATTGTATTTCTTAATAGGTAATGTAAGCAAATGGCATATGCAGCAGGTATGATGGGCTACACAGTAAAAACAAAATGTCTTTACCACTATCTCCAGCCACAAGTTCTTCTCCCAACAGGCAACTATTCTTCCCAGTAGTTTTTTCCATACATTTTAATAAACAAAGTATATTATTAAACCCAAGTGACAGTATAGGATACACATTCCTTTTACCATAAAACAGTCCTTTGAATATAACAGTATTTCTTACTGTCCATGTAAGGTGTACCTCATTCTTTTAACATCTGTGTAATGTCAACTATATAAATGCATAAGAAAATCAGTCCTACTGTCATGTAAATCTAGGCAATTTTCAATTTTTTCCCATATAAAAAACACTACAATAAATTGTGTAATTTGTCACCTCATTTGGATATGAACATTTAAGTCTAACAAATATGAAAAAATGGAACTATTAACTCAAAAGATACATCATTTCTAATATAGTTAGCTATTTGCCAATTGAGTTCCATTAGTTTACTAATATTCCTTCCAACAAAAAATAGTTCAGTGGGTTCACTAACAATGTATTATTAAACTTACTGATTTTCATGCTTTTTAAAATAACTTTGTCAATATTGTTTTCATTTTCACTTCTACTATGGGTGAAGATGAGTAAGATTTTTTTCAGAGTGATACATTTTTTCTGTGAATCTTCATATTATCTGTCTATTTCTTTACCAGATCAACGGTCTTTTGCATACTGGTTTGTAAGAGTTATTCACTTACTTTAAAGATTAACCCTTTGGGCCCAGCATGGTAACCTACTGGCAAAATTCTCACCTTGCATGCACAGGGATCCCATATGGGTGCTAGTTCGTGTCCCAACTACTCCACTTCCCTGCCAGCAACCTGCTTGTGGCATGGGAAAGCAGTAGAGGATATCCCAAAGCCTTGGGACCCTGCACCGGCATGAGAGACCCCAAAGAAGTTCCTGGCTCTTGGCTTTGGATTGGCTCAGCTCTGGCTGTGGCAGTCACTTGGGGAGTGAAACAGCAGACGGAAGTTCTTTCTGTCTCTGCTTTTTTCTGTATATCTGTCTTTCTAATAAAAATAAAATCTTTTTTAAAAAATTAGCCCTTGAGGAATTGGGATTGCAGGCACAGCCTATATATGCAACACATGTATCCCATGTGGGTACCAGGTTTGAGTTCCAGCTGCTCCACTTCCAATCCAGCTTCTTGCTAATGTGCATGGGAAGGCAGTGGAGAACAGGCCAAGGACTTGGTCCCCTGCCAGCCAAGTTGGAGACTGGATGGAGTTGCAGGCTACTGGCTTTGGCTTAGCCAAGCCATGGACATTATGGTCATTTGGAGAGTGAATCAGCAGATAGAATTTCTGTCCTTCTCCCTCTGCCTTTCAAATGAATGAAGTGTTTTTAAAATAATAATAAATATTATTATACCCTTGAGAAGGGAAATAGAATACTTTTCTGTATGCTATTGCTCCAAAACTCATGTTGAAATGTAATTGCCACTGTGATGTTACAGATTAATGCTGTACCTTGGAAATGGAGAAGGTATCCTCACCTCACTCCTGCTTCAGGTTCCCTTTTTTCTTTCTGCCCTTCCCCTGTCTCCTATAATACTGCAATACAGCAAAACGGCCCTTAGCAGATACTGGCCCCTTGAAATTAGACTTTCCAGCCCTCAGTACTATAACTCAATTTCTGCTCACTATAAATAACCTAGTCTGGAGCATCTGCAACAGTATCACAAAATGGACTAAGACTGGTATTTTGTTGTCACGCAGAAGTTTAAAACTTTAGGGGCCAGCACTGTGTCATAGAAAGTAAGGCCTACAACACTGACATCCTACATCAGTGCCAATTTATGTCCCAGCAACTCAGTTTCCGATCCATGTCCCTGCTAATGGCCTAGGAAAATCAGCAGATGATCCTTGTGTCTGGACCCCTGCTAGTCACATGGGAGATGACACTGCTGGCTCCAAACTGGCCCAGCAGTGGTTGTTGTAACCATCTGGGAAATGAATCAGCAGATGGGAAGACCTCTCTCTGACCCCTCTTAAGTTTGTAACTTTGAATTTCAAATAAACAATTCAAAACAAACAAAAAAAATTCGTGTACTGGATCTTTTCTTCCTTCCATGCATTTTGGATAATAAACAAGATTCTATACTTTCTTCCAATATTTTCTCAGGGCCATTTTTCTCATTTTAATCATAAATCTGACAGGAATTTAATTTGATTCAAATGAAACATTTTATAACATTTTATTCAATACACTCTATGTTTCAAAATTTACAACAAATTCTTAATTCATAGGAAGATCAGTTTACTAAGGAATGGATATGTATTTTCCATTTCTCTCTAATATGATATGCATTAAACTTCCAGGGTTTTCCAATCATTTGAAATACAGAATAACTCAAACATAAAATTTCATTTTGAACTGAAATTACAAGAGTGTAGGAGGATAACTGATTAGATATCTGTATGAGAACAACTGATTGGATCCTTCCAGGCAGAGGCATGGAAACAATAGACAGGGGAGCTAGGTAAACTCCTCGAACCCTCCCTTTCCTTTGTGACCCTCAGTCCATAAAAGTCTGATGTCACTAATAAACTTCAGCTATTCACCATCAGTCAGTAATTCACGCTTGTGAATATCGGCTCCAAGCAACAAGACCATTACTGCTGGACAGCGAACAAGAGAAAATACTAAGTGTTTAACAATTTTTTTGTTACTCATAAATAGCCATTTTGTACAACTAGAAAGTGTTCTATGAAAGCTCACAATGGTGCTGTCATCTCTACCATACAAAAGAACTACGTACGTAATAGCAAAGTGAGAAATAAACTAATAACTGACACGAAAGGTCATACTCTGAGTGCATATACTGTGTTGCCGCCTTTGTTTCACTCAGTGTATATATCATAACCTTACCTAAGAATATAAAATCTATCATTTGAAAGAATAATCACAAGTATCATCAATTAAAAATTGAAAGACAAAGAAAATCAACACTTCAACTACTCTTATTCACCAAGAAAATTATGAAACAAAGCAAACTTTTTATAATTTTATTCATTTATTTATTTGAGAGACAAAGAGCATGCCGCCACATACTGACTCACATCCCCAAGTGGCCACAGGCCAGGGCTCAAGTCAGAAGCTAAAACCTCAATCAGTATCTCTTACATGGGCACCCAACTCTGAGTCATCCCCTCTGCCTCCCAAGCTCTGCATTAGCAGGAAGCTGGAATCCACAGCCAGATCTGGACATTCAGATGGCAGGTAAGGGCATGCCAGCTGGCAGCTTAACCAATAGGACAAATGGCCCCTGAGCAGTAATCTTAATAAATGAACCAGTGTGGTGTATCCGTCAGTGCTGAATGGAACTGACATGAAGCCCCCATGCAATGACTTTTAAGTAGATGCTGTGTATTATCAGACTCCATTCCTTCCACAGTCTCTCCGTCTTTCTCACTTATTTAAACTTTCCTGGCAAATCAATCTATTACTAAGCTAACTCACTAGAGCGAGTGATAAAGCCAGTTCTTTGGGGTCCCTGATCACAAGACTCACACAGTCATTAACATCCTTTAGGGATGAAATTTGACATGAGGACTTGTCTTCAAGGTTTTTCCAGGAACTGAGTGAAGCCCATCTGCCATCATCAAAACTGTCTAAGCATGAGAGAGCACTGACCAATCACAGAAGGATGCTGTGCAGTGCTGATCAACAGAGTTGCTGAAGAAAGCAGCACTCAGCTCCAACCTCAAGCTGTCAGACTTCTTGTCCAAAACACCAAGGGGAGCCCAGAATCTAAGTGAAAACTGCCCAACTTGTTGCTCTGTGCTTTGTAAAAGACCATCTGCTTTCTTCCTGAACCCTAAATTCAGTAACTATCTTGATGCATGCCAGACAGTAAGACTCAGGTTTGGAGAGTCTACAACAAAACCAGAGACAATCCTATCTACAACAGAGACAGGCTAGAAAGCATAATCCTGTTGAAAAAAAAAAGTTTAAATGAATTCACTGGAACATATACTTACATTCCTAAACCAATTTTTCCCTTATCTATCACTGTTATTTTGTAATAACATTTTTCAATCATCAAATTCTATTGAAGTCAACCACTTTAGGCTTTCTGTTAGATATTAAATACCCTGAAAGAATCTTACCTAATTCTCTTTTGTAAGTTTTCATCTAAAGCATGCCAGTTTTATTATACTAATAATTTAAAATTATTTGAAGCACATTGACAATTGCAGAGGACTACTATTTATGTCTACTCAATAATGAGTGTTCAATAAATACCTAGAAGAATTTACATCATGTGAGTTTCCAGGACATGTCAAGTATAAAGCTGCACTGACAAATATGAAAGGACTTCTTTCATTAGCTCACACATCCAAACATAACTAATTTCAGAAGATATTAGAAATCTCAGAAATAACTTACATACTGACCTCACTCTGCCTATTACAAGCAGTCACTTATTTTCGGATTCTTCCAGCACTCATTTGTAAATTAGAAAAATAAGATATTGCTTTGTGAATAGATATTTGTGTTTCCTATTTCCCCAACTGGATTTCAATCTAACACCTCATGTTATCTTGTGTTGTCAAAAGCACCTATTATAATATATTGTGAATCATTACAAATATTAAATAACTAGCAAAACTACTATCAAATACAATCTATATTCATTATCTGCATATCTAGGGATTCACCCAATCACAAACAGAAAATATTTTAGAAAAATAAATTACATTTGTACTGAACATATAAAACATTTTTCTGCTCAATATTTCCTAAATAACACAGAGACAATCTAAGTTTTACAGGAAGGTGCGTTTTATTTTGCCTCAGGGACTTGAGCAGTGAGATTCTCTCTACACCCCTCCAGATACTGAGAAACAGCCACATCTCAAAGCTTCACAATTTCAGACTAGTGATCCCAACTTTGACATAATCTTTGCAAAATATACCTGCTCATAAACAGCTCTCAATGGTAAGATAAATAAATACTCAATAGAAAATATTTTCAAATTACTTGTTCTCTCTTACCTGATCAAAAAGAAGTCTAAGTTGTCTTTCAGATTCACCAACCCACTTGCTCAAACAATCTGCTCCTTTTCGCATAAAAAAAGCCACCTTTTTGTCTCCTTGACTGCATTCATTAGCTAATGCTCTGGCAACCAAAGTTTTACCTGTACCAGGAGGACCGTAAAACAAACAGCCCCTAAAGAAACAAAGATTTATTAAAAAAAATTAATTAATATTATCACTACTCACAAACAACTTAACAATGTCCCTTAGTAACATATAAGTTTGTATTAATGTTTGCACTAATTACTAAACATTGTTAAAAAAAAATTTCACTTTGCTCAGCCATCAAAGTACCATGCTTTGATGGGCAAGAAAGTCTGGGATGATATGTTAAGATACACCAAATTTAAATATATTTCTCATGACCGAGAAATGTCACATCTTAAAATATGTCACACATAAATACTCAAACAACGTATACCAATAGATGGAATCTGAGTTCAACTAAAACACAATTTCTAACAATGAAAGACTAAAAAAAATTCTACTAAACAAGAGGCAGGTACATCTATAAAATAAACTACTACTAGTAAATGTCACACAGAGGGCCCTGTGCTGTGGCAAAGCCAAAGCCAGCATGCCCTATCACAGAGCTACTCCAGCTGTTCGGCTTCTGGCTTCCTACTAATGCACTTGGGAAGCAGCAAAGATGAACCAAGTACTTGGGACTCTGTCAGATTATCTACAAGTGGAAACCAAGATGCAGTTCCTGGCTTCTGCCTTTGAGTTAACCCAGACCTGGCTGCTGAACTCATTTGTTGAATGAATCAGCGAGAGAGACTCTCTTTCTAATCCTGCTTTCCAAATAAATAAATCATTTTTTCTAAATATCCAACAGAATAATACATTATTGATATGTGGAAGTATCTAGATTATATAAAACAACAAAAAAGTTACACAAGGATATTACTGAATAATATCTTTTATACTGCTTATATTACAAAATATAGGCAAAACATAAATTTAACAAATGAATTACAAAAGTTGCAAGGAATATACAAAATAGTTCACTACTGGGCCCGGCGCGGTGGCGCAAGTGGTTAAAGGTCCTCGCCTTGCACGCCCGGGATCCCATATGGGCGCCGGTTCTAATCCCGGCAGCCCCGCTTCCCTTCCAGCTCCCTGCCTGTGGCCTGGGAAAGCAGTCGAGGACGGCCCAAGGCTTTGGGAACCTGCACCCGCGTGGGAGACCCGGAAGAGGCTCCTGGCTTCGGATCGGCATAGCATCGGCCCGTTGCGCTCACTTGGGGAGTGAATCATCGGACGGAAGATCTTCCTCTCTGTCTCTCCTCTCTGTATATCCGCCTTTCCAATGAAAAAATAATAAAAATAAATCTTTAAAAAAAAAAATAGTTCACTACTAAGGAATAGGCTTAACCTTGGTGATAAGGGGATTGAAAACACACTTTCAACTTCCGCTTTGTTTAAGATTCTCAAAAGCTACACTATTCTTGCTCTATATATATGTATGTATGACTCTGCCTTTCAAATAATTATTTAAAAAAAAAATGACAGGACTGGCCCAATAGCGTACTGGCTAAAGTCCTCGCCTTGAATATGCCAGGATCCCATATGGGCACCAGTTCTAATCCCAGTGGCCCTACTTCCCATCCAGCTCCCTGCTTGTGGCCTGGGAAAGCAGTTGAGGATGGTTTGAATCCTTGGGACCCTGCATCCACGTGGGAGAGCCGGAAAAAGCACCTGGCTCCTGGCTTCATATTGGCTCAGCTCCAGCCATTGCAGCCGCTTGGAGAGTGAACCATCAGACAAAAGATCTTCCTCTCTGTGTCTTCTCCTCTCTGTATATCTGCCTTTCCAATAAAAATAAATAAATCCTAAAAAAAAAAATCACTATGAGACTAAGCATCAATATCTCAGATAATGAATTCGTTAATAATAATAAAATTTCCATATCCTTAAACATCGAACCCAAAATGAATAAATCTCACAGACTACAAGTATACCTTTCGGATATTTTATTCTTCCAATTTTCTTTACCACAAACTTTCAGCCTTTTTTTTTTTAAAGATTCTCCTATTTTCATTGGAAAGGCAGATCCAAACAGAGAAGGAGAGACACAGAGAGAGAGAGATCCTCCATCTGTTGGCTCACTGCCTAAGTGGCCACAACAACAGGAGCTGAGCCGTTCCAAAACCAGGAACATGAAGCTTCCTCCAGGTTCTCCACACGAATGCAGGATCCCACTTCTTGGTCCATCCCCCACTGCCTTTAGAGGCCATAAACAGGGAGCTAGATGGAAAGTGGAATAGTTGAGACACAAATCGTAGCCCATTTGGAAACCTCAGTGCATTCCCAGTATATCAAAGTAAGGAGCTCAACCACTAGACTACCAAGCCAGGCCCCATCCTTTAAAAAAAAAAAAATTATTTCTATTGGAAAGGAATATCAGATTTACAGAAAGGAAACATGCAAAGAAAATTCTTGCATCTGCTGGTCATTCCCCAAGTGATTGCCACGGTCAGAGCTGAGCCAATCCGAAGCCACGAGCTTGTTTATAGTCTCTCACACGGGTGCAGTGTCCCAAGACTTTGGGCCATCCTCGCCTGCTTTCCCAGGCCACAAACAGAGAGCTAGATGGGAAGTGGAACAGCTGGGACATGAACCAGCACCCATATGGGATCCTGGCACATGCAAGGCAAGGACTTTAGCCACTGACCCACTGTGCAGTATCCAACCTTTTCTAACAGTTCACTAGTTAGCCACCCCAAAATACAAAATAATTATAATCATAAAAATGATTATCCTTACCCTATTTCAAAATCATTCTATCAGGGCAGACATTTGGCCAAACAGCTGAGATTCTCTGTATCGTTTCAATTTTTTAGTATATGTGCTGCCAAAGTGAGCAAGAAACAACTGAAACCCTCAAATCCTACGCGTGCCTGCCTCCCTGGCTTTAATCCTAAACTCTGATACCCAGCTCTAACTTCCTGTAGGACAGGTTTGGCAAGCATCAGGTGACTGCTCAAGTAGCCAATTGATTCCTGCAATCCATGAGGGTGATGCAGCTTGAGTTCCAGGTTCCTGGTTTTTTGGCTCAACCCAGCTCCAGCCACTGAAGGGGGTGTGTGTGTGTGTGTGTGTGTGTGTGTGTGTGTGTGTGTGTGTGTGTGTGTGTGTGTGTTTGCCTCCTGAAAACAAATTAACAAAAAAAAAAATCATCAAGTCAAAGAAAACACTTCAATAAGTTATGCTTCTGAAAACTAAACACATATATCATCAGGTGTGATGATGTTAGAAAACCAAATCCATGAAATTTCATTTGAGCAACAACTCAGCATCCATACAGAATCTCCTGTCGTTCAGGACAATTAAATCCTAAAACATAAACCTCAAGAGCACATTTAGTTTCACAAAATCTGAGCCCTAAAAAATAAAATTTCAATTGTAATTGGCACTAACAAAACACATCAAATGAATGAATAGAAAATAGTTATAGTTTATTAATTGAAATTTGATAAATTAACAGAAAATTAGCAATAAAATATTTTTAAAGATATTACTTACCTTGGAGGCTGAATTTTAAACTTTTCAAAAATTTCTGGATATAAAAGTGGGAATACCACCATTTCCTTTAGTGCATGAATATGGTGGCTCAGTCCACCTATGCTATCAAATCGTACCTTGAAGAAAAGGAAAAAGTTTAATGGAAAATAATTTCACATGTTTTATATAATTTTTTAAATTCGTGACCTACTCAATTCAGAAATGCATGTCTTCAGCAGGAGCTTTTAGAAACAGTGTATATAGATAATTATAGAAAAACAGTCAACAGTAAAATTCAGATTCACATTTCAGTTCATGCAAATCAAGCTATAATTCTTTAATCTCTTAACTCAGGACCAGGACTAATGCCCAATCTAAATCTTCCATTCATAACTTCAAGAAATGTCATATCAGGCCCAGCATGGTAGCCTAATGGTTTAAGTCCTCACCTTGCAAGCATTGGGATCTCATATGGGAACTGGTTCTGATCCCAGCAGCTCCACTTCCCTTTCAGCTCCCTGCTTGTGGTCTGGGAAAGCAGTTGAGGACGGCCCAAAGCCTTGGAACCCTACACTCACATGGGAGACCAAAGAAGCTCCTGGTTCCTGCAGCCACTTGGGCAGCAGATGGAAAATCTTCCTCTCTCCCCCTCCTCTGTATATCTGACTTTCCAATAATAAATAAATAAATTTTTTTTAAAAAAGAAATGTCATATCTGTATTTTCACAGTTTAAATGCTTTTCAAACTATCTCAGGCATTCTCAGCTGGGACAGTAATATCCACAGCAGGCAAAAAAAAAGTTCAATTAGAGCAAGAAAACCTTAGCTATTACAAAATGGCCCTCTAAAGTGTAACCTAAGCTTACAAAATCTCTAATATTTAATTTCTCTTGTATAGAAGAAATAACATTTTTTTCTTCTAGGACAACAATGAAAAAATATTTGGGTCACAGATTCTGAGTCTATCACAAGAAACAACAAAGACTTGTCCTCCCACCACTTACCTGAAGACCAGGTTAAAAAAAAGTAAATAAGGAAAGTATGTTTGAAAGACAGTATGCCAAAATGTTAACAGCAACTGCTTCTCCTTAGTGGATTATGGTAGATTTCTTTCCTTGCTTCTTCACTGTGCTATCTGAAACTGTGCCATACATTGGGAAAGGTTCTGATGGAAGAGCTTGGGAAACTCCTCTGTCAAGACAGTCCTTCCCTGCAGGTGAGCGCAAGAACCACAATAGGGAGCAGTCCAGACCAGGCCTGGGAACGGTACCCACTGGCATACATTTGGCACTTGTCGGGGCTGAACCATGCAGTGAGAGTTCACATCACCTGCTGGCAAATCTGGTGCAGTGTGGGTTGGGCCAGGTTCGGTCGCAACACATGCCAGTACACATGAGGGCTTAGACTGGGTACCAGCTGGGTTAGGCTGTAGCCTGCATTAACCTGAGTTGGAACCGAAGGTGGGCCAGGCCAGGCCATGCTACAGCACATACTGGCAAAAGCTGAGGAGAGACAGGCCATGCAAGACTGGGCCACAGCACCCAACCAGCACAAGTGAGACCCAGGGGTGGGGGAAGAGGGAGCAAAGCCAGTAGTAGGGCTGCATGGGGCTCCCCTGCAGGATCACCATTCCCACTGGAGAGCATGAGTTTGGATGGGAGCAGACCAGACCAGGCAGAATTATAACACCTGTTGGCCTCATGTGAGCTAGATCAGGAAAAAGCCAAGCTGGGTTAACTGTTCCTACTAGTGCATGCATAAGTCAGAGTGGATGTGGGTTGGTTGGGCTCTGTCGCAGCATTAGCTGGCAGATGCTGGCACGGGGGGCTAATTCTGTCAAACCAACTGCAGAACCTCTCAGAGAGTGCATAATCTGGGAATAAGAGTGGGCTCATTAGGGAAACACGGAGAACCAAGACTAGGGCAGGCGAGGCCAGATAGAGTGGCACCCATTGGCATGTGTGTGAGCTGGACAATGGGGCTGGTTAGGTTGAACTAGGCTTCAATGCCCATTGACATATACGAGAGCTGAATGTGATGTGGAACAGACTGGACCAGTCTGCTGTACATACTGGCAAGTATGGGAATCGTGGCAGGAGGCGGGCCTGGTAGGGGCTATTGCGGGTCGCTTTGACTTGGTTTCAGCTCCCACTGGTTTGCGTGAGGGCCAAGTGTGTGGTGGGCAGGATCAGGTTAAATTCCAGCACCCATTAGTTTGTGTAGAAGATGGGGCTGGAGGCAGAACTGACCCATGCATGGGGCCTGGGTCTGGGGTAAGGTCAGACTGGGTTAGGCCCCAGCACCTGCTGGCTATCGCAAGAGCCAGAATGGGTGTGGGACTAGGGCTAGGCCTCAGGACCTGTAGGGTCACATGACAGTTGTGTCTGGGGGTGAGCCAAGCTGGGCTAGGCTGTACATGCATCAATGAAAGCTGGAATGGATGCAAGCCAATCAGGCTAGGCCATACTGTGTTAATGCCCACTGGTGAGTACTAAGCCTGGGGGCCAGTAATGTTAGTCTGGGTAGCAGCACACACAAAGCCTGGTAGAGGAACTTGGAGAACTGCCCTGCTAGGCCACAGCTCCTACATGTAAGCATGATAATCAGGGCTGGGGGCAGGTTACACCAGGCTGGGTTGCAGTACCCCTTGGCATACATGTGAGCTGGGTCTAGGGGCAAGTCGGGAAGGGTCAATCCACAGCACAAAACTAGCATGATTGAGAAAAATAAGAGTGCAGGCCAGGCCAGGTGAACCACAATGCCTGTCATGTCACATGAGGGCTGGGGCAAGTACCAGGCCAGGCCAGGCTAGGCTGATACACCAACTGGCAAGAGCTGGGACTGGAGATGGGGCTGAGCCAGGTAGTAACTGCTTGCAAATGCCAATACTAGGGATAGGCCATCTCAGACAGGGCTGCAGCACTTGCTGACACATGCCAAAACGCAGGGCTTGGAGCAAACCTGGTAGGGAACTCTGGGGATTCCCCCGCTGGGCTGCTGCTTCCACTGGTGAGCCTGAGAGCTGCAACTGGGACTGGGGCAAGTCCACCTGGGACAGGCTCCCGTATCAGCTGGCATGCATGAGAACCAAAATGGGTGTAAGCGAGCTGAGCTAGACCACAGCACTAGCTGGCAAGTGCTGGGACTGAGTGCGAGTTATATCAGGCTGGACCACAATATCCCCAGCATGCACAAGATCCAGTGCTGGAAATATGCTTGGCAGGAAAACTGTGGGCACTCTCCTGCTAGCTATACCTATCACTGGTGTGCACAAGAACCAGGGCTGGAATCAGGCCAGGCTGGATAAGGCAGCAGCACCTGTCAGCATATATGAGGGCCAAGTGTGGGGATGTGTAGGGCTGAGCTAAGCCCCACTGGTATGCACAAGAGCTGGATGGCATATGGCCTAGGCCAAGCTAGGTCATGGTAGAGCTGGCATGTACAAGAACCAGAGCTGGGGGAGAAGGGGCAGGAGACCTAGTGGGGATAATTGGGGGGTGGCCCCAACTATGCCACAACACCCTCTGGTACACATGGGGACCAGCTCTGTGAAGGGCTGCCTGAGTGTCTGCATTCATCGGTTCATATGAGATACATGGCTGGGGGTAGAACTGACTAGAGCTGCATTCACCTGTGAGTGCACTACCTGGTGCAGGTGACAGACACACACTTGATCCTATACTGGCTGGCACATTCAGAAGTCAAATCTGAGGTCATCCCAAGCGTGGGTTCTTGGGGGACTCCCCAACTGGACCATTGGGCTCAGACCCTAGCCACAGGGAAACCACAGGATGTACTGTCCAAGCTTGGAGTGCATGTATCAGGTCTGGGCCTCCACAGATGCTGATCCCTGTGCACCTGTACAGTGGACAGTACATGGAGGATGTTATGGTCAGCTCCTCTAGACCAGCAGGGGACATCAAGTGCTTCAGCAGAGAATGGAAAGGAGAATAGGTTGGACAATTTTCCTAACAAGCTTTACAGCATGTTCCCGGGTCTGTGGATACACTAAGATGAACTTCCATCAACCAACCAACCTTGGAAAGATTTTCTCAATGCTCTGCAAAGAAGTTGACAATGTCTCAAAACTATAAAAACCACTCAACACCCTCGCAATACTCTTCCCCACATCAGGAAGTCATCAAATGACTGTCTCCCAGCCCCAAGTGTTGATGTAGCTTGACAGTAAGTAGAAGCCATCTCTCACTTCTCCTATGTGGACAAACTGGAGGAAAAAAAAATGAAACATGTCCTTCCCACCTCCCTCTGTACCTGAACTTCCCCACCCTTAACAGAGGTCCACATGGGCGTACATCCCTCTCAACTATGTAAACAAATTTAAGAAGCAAATTTTAAAATTAAAAATACATACACTGTAGAAAAGCAGTTACAAAACTTACTGATTTATCAATGTTCATTGGATCAACATCAGCCAAGCTTGCACCCACTTTCACTCGTTCTCGGAGAATACCACTAGCTAAGTCTTCTGCTCTGAAGTTCATAGGCAAACATCTGAAATTAACAAAAATTTAAGTAAATAGCATTCAAAATTTCTAATTTTTAATGTCAAAATAAGCTTAAATGGTGACAAATTTTCATCTTTCTTCTTTTTCTTATAACCCAGAAAACAACAAACTCATATTTTTAACATTTTCTATATTTGTTTTTGTTTTTATTTTCAGGGAAGCATCCAACTCTTTTTAAGGATGGCTTCCCTGCTTTAAAAATTTATTTGTCCAAAACACATAGAAACAGAGTGGGAGGAACACACAGTAAGAGGTCTTCCACTCCGTCCTGGTCTCCCGCATGGACAGTGAGATCCAGAGTCCTTGGGCTCAGCTCTACTGCCTCCCCAAGCACACTAGCAGCAAGCAATGGCAAAGGCTGGTGCTGTGACGCAGCCAATCAAGTCACTGCCTCTGATGCACACATGCCACACAGCTGTAGTTCCTATCCTTGCTCCTCCACTTCCAATTAACCTCCCTTCTACGACCTGGAAAAAGCAATGGAAGCTGCCTCAAGTGCTTGGGCCCTCTCTTTCCATTTCAGGGACATGAAAGCAACTTTTGGCTCCTGCTTACTGCCTTTGGCCTCACCCAGACCCAGCCATTGGAATCATCAGACAGAAGATTTCTCTTTCTTTCTATAACTCTGGCTTTCAAACAAATAAGCACATCTTTCAAAAAAAAAATAAAGAACAAAAGAAGAAAAAGAAAATAAACAAATAAATAAATAAATAAAGTGGGATAGCAGCACTCAAACCCCCACTCAATATGAGATGCCAGCACTGCAGGCGGCAGCTTCACCCAATGGGCCACAATGTCAATCCCCCTAATTGTTTTACAGCTGAAACAATAGTCACGTAGAAGACAGTATGAACACATCATTAACGTGTTGTACAAAGAACCCAATCTACGTTTCAACTGAGGAACATTTTCATATGTCTCATTTCCTGCATTATATTATTACACAATTAAGATACTTTCATGTACTATATTAATTAGCAGTAAAATGGAAATTAAGCTGTGCTATATTTAAATTTATCCTCAGGTTTTATGCAGATATGTCTAAAGTTCAGTTTATATGACTGAAAAAGTTTCTTTTTCTTTCATTCAAGAAAGCCATTCTAGATCACATCTTGGGAACAAAACTGTATCAATATCATTACATAAATGTTACACAGATAGCTTAAGAGCTCTAGCTACCTCAAATCCTATATATATTATGTAATGTTTTTAAAGACTTACTTTTGTTTTAAAAAAAGATTTATTTTTATTTTTATTGGAAAGGCAGATATATAGAGAGCAGGAGAGACAGAGAGGAAGATCTTCTCTCCACTGATTCACTCACAAAGTGGCTGCAATGGCCGGAGCTGAGCCAATCCAAAGCCAAGAGACAGGAGCTTCCTCCAGGTCTCCCACACAGGAGCAGGGTCCCAAGGCTTTAGCCCATCCTCAATTGCTTTCCCAGGCCACAGGGAAGAAGCAAGAAGGGAAGTAGAGGGCCCGGTGGCGTGGCCTAGCGGCTAAAGTCCTCGCCTTGAACGCGCCACTTCTAATCCCAGCCGCTCCACTTCCCATCCAGCTCCCTACTTGTGGCCTGGGAAAGCAGTCGGGGACGGCCCAAAACCTAGGGACCCTGCACCCATGTGGCAGACCCGGAAAAGGTTCCTAGCTCCTGGCTTTGGATCAGCATAGCATCAGCCATTGCGCTCACTTGGGTAGTGAATCATCGGACAGAAGATCTTCCTCTCTGTCTTTCCTCCTCTCTGTATATCTGACTTTCCAATACATAAATAAAGATTAAAAAAAAAAAAAAAAGGGAAGTAGAACAGCTGGGATTAAGACCTTGTGCCCATATGGGATCTCGGTACATGCAAGGAGAAGACTTTAGCCACTAGGCAACAATGCCAGGCCACATTACTTAATTTTATTATCCTCTAAGTAAATATAATCTTCTTTCTTTTTGCTTCTTGGTTAAATATTCAAAGATGACATAAACGGTCTCAGAAAAGTACGGTTTCTAAAATGAATAGAACTGCACTAAAATTTCTTAATTCTAACACCGAAAATATACATTTTCAATGTAGATTATCAGAATAATTCATATCGGGCACAGCACAATAGTCCAGAGGCTAAAGTCCTCACCTTGCACACACTGGGATCCCATCTGGGTGCCAGTTCTAATCCCAGAGGCTCCACTTCCCATCCAGCTCCCTGCTTGTGGCGTGGGAAAACAGTCAAGAATGGCCCAAAGCCTTGGGACCCTACACCCTCATGGGAGACACAAGAGGCTCCAGGCTCCTGGCTTCAGATCAGCTCAGCTTCAGCTGTTGCGGCCACTTGAGGAGCACATCAACGAACAGATGATCTTCCTCTCTGTTTCTCCTCCTCTCTGTATATCTGACTTTCCAATAAAAATAAAACAAATCTTTAAAAAAAAATAAAAGTCAAGATCAAATAATAATTAAATTCTTTTATTTATGCTTAAACTCTTGGGCTAGAGTCCTGGCACAGCAGGTTAAATCACTACTTACAATGCAAGCATCTCATAACAGAGCGTCAGCTGCAGCCCCAGCTGCCTCAGCTCCAATTCAGCTCCCTGTTAATTCACCTGCGAAGGCAGCAGAGGATGGCCTAGGTACTGGAGCCTCTGCCACCCATGTGGGAAGCCTGCAAGATCCCAGTTTCCTGGCTCCAGTTTAGCCCTAATCAAACTGCTATGACCATTTGGGGAGTGAATTAGAATCAGCAAGTGTAAGATCTTTTATGCTCTTTTTTCTTCATGTTTTTTTCTCCGCTTCCTTCTCTTTCAAATAAATAACTGGGTCTAAAAGAGAAAAAAGCTTAGATTTTTCTCATATTTCTTACTATCACTGACATGAGGAATTCCTTTTTGAAATAAAAGCTACACCAATTCAAATTTGTTTCCAAAATATGCTAAATGAAAATTTTGGATTTCTACAACACAATCATAATATCAAATTATAGAAACACTTTGCTAAATTCAAGTTTTCTAAATAAAATATCTTTGTTACTGAAAATATGTGCTAAAAGTTGAAAAATAAGGCGCTGACACAGTGCGTACCATGCTACTCCTCCACCTGCTAGCATCAGCGTCCCATGTAGGATGTGTGTCCCACCTGCCCCACTTCCAATCCAGCTTTCTATAGCCTGGAAAAGAGCAGAGGACAGCCAAAGTCCTTGGATCCCCACACCCATGTGGGAGACCAAGAATATGTTCCTAGCTCCTGGCTGCAGATATTCTCAGCCGTGGCCATTGCAGCCACTTGGGGAGTGAATCAGCACAGGAAGACCTCTCTCTGTGTCTTCTCCATTAAATCGGCCTTTCAAAATAAACCTTCTTTTAAAAAAATAATTTTAAAAAATATTGGAAAATAAATCTGACACTTTAATTATTTACTAGATAAATATACAATCTATCCAGGGAAAACAACTTGAGGTTTTGATGAGTCATGTAGCAGCCATTTACCAAAGCTGGGCAAAGAACTCCAGAGGCAATAATAAAAGCAAAACAAACCTTCCCAATAAAAATCCTAGGACTCCCAAGACAATTCTACTAGAAATGTTATCTCCCTCAGGTACTGGAGTCGTCTGACACACCTAAAACCAGCCTCATTAAATGAACTTGGACAAGAAGAGCAGTAGAGATGGAAATAGACACTATACTAAACCTACTGTCTTTCCTTTCGTCACTCTTACACAGTGTTTCATCATTGAATATTGGCAGATTACTATACAGGTTATTTCCCAAGGCTGGATTTCCACTGTAAGAATTACTAAATCCAAAATAAGTTAGTGCTTAAGTCTTGTCCAAAATATATGTTAGATAGCAATGTTAATGTAGTATCACCATAGATTGCAAAATTTGTTCCAACTGTGCCTCTTGCTTTCAACCATGAAAACTACACTGAAATTTGTACGAACCTGTTTCTTGCTCTTGCCATGCTCTTTGATTTCCTTCTTTCAAACCGTTCCTCATCAGACGAAGTTGTGTCACTACTATGAATGGCATGCTTCTTTCTCCTACAGAAAAAAAATTCTTAAAACCATTAAAATAGCAAATAGGATTTAAAAACACATTGTAATGACCATAGCTACAAGTACTTCGACAAATCCATTAGTTCAGCAACTGCCCTCATACAGTTTACATCTCACAAACTTTAAAAGTGGCACATTTCACGAGTAAAAGAAAAAAGGGGAAAATAAGAGGCCTACAATTTTTTAAACAGAGGAGTTAGGGAAGACAGTCCAATAACAAAACTAATTTTCATCTAAATTTGAAAATTTACATCATTGTTTTATAAAGAACAATAAAATCATGGAAAATCACGTTTGTATTTTGTATTCTGTTTTTCAAGTAATCAGAAAGTCTAGACATTGAAAGAATTGAAGAAAATAACACACTGGTTTCTAGGCTTTCACTTCCCAGTTGGGACACTTCTAACTTCATTTGAATGTGAGAAAAATACATAAAATATTTTTTAAGAAAAAGAAGTTGTTTATAATGAGAACTACTATAGAATGATTAAATAACATACAAGGCTAAAATCGTCACCAAAGAGGGATAATACTTAATGTTAATTACTAATATAATCCATGACATTTCAAAAATCTCTAGAAAACAGTATAAAAACCATACCAAAGCACACCATTGCCCTCTTGACATGCAAATTACCTTTATCATATTCAAGTCAAATTGTTTGACTACTTCTTAAAAATGGCATATTCAGTTAATAGCTTTATCAGAAACCTCCAAGCCATCCTAAGTTGGCTTGCCGTTCACTACACGATCACTGCCATTGCACCCTTTCCACAATTACACATAGCTACATCTCTCTTTATACCCCTGCCTACGCTTCACTTACACACTCACACTCCTTTAACTAGTCCTGAGCTCTGTGCCATTTAAACATCATGTACCATGATCGTACCTTGGATCTTGTCACCACATGACCTGCTCTCAACCACTGCAATATTAAAATTTAATTTGAAGAGCTACTCTTTGAACATAACCACCTAACACCCTAACTCTTTAACTTCAAATCTGTTAAGACCTATAGAGCTAGGGTACCCATTAACTCATAATTTATCAACTCTCACTGGTGTAACTTTTTGTCCTGTTTAGCATCAATTGTAAGACTTATTATTTTCCTTTTCTTATTTTTCTCTTTATTATTTTATATTTATTTCTGTAAATTTATTTATTTATTTAGAGGCAGAGACAGATAATGCCCATCTGTTGACTGGGAGAGGAGCAAGGCTTGGGAGCTAAAACCAACTGCACTTTTCCCACAGGGTCGCAGGAACTCATTTACTGAGTCAACAACAATGCGTCCCCAGAATCTGCATTCGTAGGAAGCTGGAATCAAGCGCCACAGCCAGGAACTGAACGCAGGCTCCAATGTGGGATATAGCTGTCTAATCCAAGAGGCAAAATGCTGGTGCCTATTACTTCACTTTGGAATCTTTCCACATGAATGGTTTCTGTCCATTAGTTTTCCATCATAATCACTACACTGCACAACACTGTAGCAACCAAAATAGTAAAAGTGGAATTCAGACTATACTGATGACAAGCCACAAATTGTTAATTTAAATTTAGCCTTCACGGGCCCGGCGCGGTGGCGCAAGTGGTTAAGGTCCTCGCCTAGCACGCCCGGGATCCCATATTGGCGCCAGTTCTAATCCCGGCAGCCCCGCTTCCCTTTCCAGCTCCCTGCCTGTGGCCTGGGAAAGCAGTCGAGGACGGCCCAAAGCTTTGGGACCCTGCACCCGCGTGGGAGACCCGGAAGAGGCTCCTGGCTTCGGATCGGCATAGTATCGACCCGTTGCGCTCACTCGGGGAGTGAATCATCGGACGGAAGATCTTCCTCTCTGTCTCTCCTCTCTGTATATCTGCCTTTCCAATCAAAAAATAATAAAAATAAATCTTTAAAAAAAAAATTTAGCCTTCACAAATGTCCCAACAACCTAGGCTTCTCTATATGATACTTCCAAGTATACTGTAGTCCATAATAACTCAAACTGGATCTGGTTCTGTGGCACACAGGATTAAGCCACTCCTTGTGGCATCAGCACCACCTATCAAATTTTGGCAGCTCTATCAATCCAGCTCCCCAGTAATGCACCTGGGAAAGCAGCAGAAGTTGGTCCATGTATTTGTGTCCAAGCCACCCACATAGGAAATCCAGGCCAAGGCCCTGGCTTCTGCATCGGTCTGATCCAGATCATTGGCACAGTGAACCAGTAGATACAAGATCAATCTCTCTGTCTCTCCCTGTCTCTGTAATCTGCCTTAACATAAATAAATAAATAAATAAATCTTTCAAAAAATAGTCTAGGTTAACTGTGAACCCATAATATCAAAATATGTAGGATGAAAACTGTTAAATAAGCAGAGACATAACTTAACAACAACATAATATAACGTAACATAACATAGCATAACATAACATAAGACATAACAAGTCTCTCATTGATATAAAAATTCCTGCCTTCTAGAAACAGAATGTACCTGATATGGCTTCTTCGTGCTGGAGATCTATGAATATCAAACAATGTGTTTTCCCTCTTTTTTTGATGAGCTGGTACTAAAAGGGGGAGAGGTAACATAGAAATAATTTATAAATAAACGTTGTTAAAAGGAAATTATTTCTATTAACTTTCTGCAAAGAACCTAATGTGTCTTCAAGTTTCAAATATCTTCTGAAAACCCAAGATTTTGTGATAGCATAATTGAGTTGCAAATAAGCATCATAAAAACATGTTAACTTAAATTATTATGAGTTTGGGTTTAAAAATCAATCACTCAAATTCAATATCGAAATCATGACCAATAAGAAAAGTTTTTCAAGCACAGGTGAAGATGTCAATATGGTATGGAAGGCATGCCTGGGGTGCCCATGCCATGCATCAGAGTGCCAAGCTCAGGTCTTGCCTCCTCTCCTTCCTACTAACGCATACTACAGGAGACACCAGATGATGGGCCAAGTAGATGGGTCTATGCTACCCATGTGGGAGGCCTGCACTGAATTCTAGGGTCAAGTCCAGCTTCTGGGGTGATTGAAAAATAAACCAGCAAATTAAAATTTGATCCATCTCTCTCTCTCTTTCTCCATGTCACTCTGACTTTTCTTTTAAAACTACTTTAAAAAAAAGAGGTTAAGAGAGAGGTAGGGAAAAGGGAAGAAGGAAAGGAACAGACTAAAAGAGGTCTTCCACACTCGGATTTAATCCCCACACTGCCACAACGGCAAGGGCTGGGCCAGGCCAAAGCCAGGAATGAGGGGCTTCTTCACTGTTTCCCATATGAGCGCACGAACCAAGGTACTTGGTCAACCTCAGTTGCCTTACTAGGCAGGGAGCTGGATCAGAAGTGGAGGAGCCTGGCCTCAAACTGGTGTCTATGCAAGTGCCTTGCTGGTACATTAGGCAGCAACTTAACCCACCACCCCACAATGCCAGCCCAACAATCTTTCAACAAAAATATAAATCCTTTATATGCAGATATTTGTACATCTTAAAGAATTATTTATTTTTATTTGAAAGATAGAGTTACATACAGAAAAAGAAAGATGTTCCACCTACTGGTTCACTCTCCAAATGGTTAAACAGCTGGAGCTGAGCCAATCTGAAGCCAGGAGCCTCTTCCAGGTCTCCCACATGGGTGTAGTATTGAAGGGGCCCAAGGACTTGGGCCATTCTCCAGTGCCTTCCCAAGCCACAAGCAGGGAACTGGACCAGAAGTGCAGCTACCAAAACATGAACCTGCATCCACAAGATGCCAGTTCTTGCAGGTGAAGAATTAGCTTGTTGAGTCACCATGCCCCATAAATAAATCTTGAAAGAAGAAAAAGAGGATCCTGTGCGGTAGCCTAGTGCCTAAAGTCCCTGCCTTGCACACACTGGGATCCCATATGGGCAGTGGCTCATGTCCCCAGCTGCTCCACTTCTCATCAGGCTCTCTGCTTAAAGCCTGAGAAAACAGTGAAGGACGACCCAGAGTCTTGGGACCCTGCATCTTCATGGGAGAACCAGAAGTTCCTGGCTCCCAGCTCCTGATTTCGAACAGACTCAGCTCTGGCCATTGGGAAACTTGGGAAGCGAAGAAGCCAATGGAAGATCTTTCTCTTTGTGTCCTCTCTGTAAATCTGCCTTTCAAATAAAAATAAATACATCAAGAAAGTGAGAACAAAGGAAGGAAAGAAGGAAGGAAGGGAGGAAGAGAACATGCTAGCACTGCGACATAGCAAGCTAAGCCTCTGCCTACAGCGCTGCCATCCCATATGCTCATCAGTAAGTCATAGCTCTGATCCAGCTCTCTGCTTATAACCTGAGAAAGCAGTAGAGAATGACTCAAGTCCTTGGGCCCCCACACCCAAATAGGAGACACGGTAGAGGCTCCTGGCTTCACACAGGCCCAGCTTTCTCCTTCTCTGTCTATAACTACTCTGTCTCTTAAATAAAAATAAAATAAATCTTTTTAAAAAGAGAGAAAAAAATGTGATACATATGAAACATATATGATGGAATACCATGTAGTCATTTGTAAACACGTGGACAAATCTGGAGGGCATTATGTTAATTGAAATAAGCCAGGCACAAAAAGACAACCACCACACTGACTCACATGTGGAGGTAAAGAAGTTGATCTCACAGAAACAATGTGGTATCTAGCAGAGAAAGAGGGGTGACTAGGTAGATACTGGCGCAAAAGACACATAATTCCAATCAGAAAGAATAAGTTTGAAGAAATACATCGTGGAACATAATGACTACAGATTATAGACACATTGTACTTTTTTTTTTAAGATTTATTTATTTTTATTGGAAAGGCAGATTTACAGAGAAGGAGAGAAACAAAGAAAATATTTTTTTGTTCGCTGATCCACCCCTAAAATGGCCATAAAAGCTGGAGTTGAGACCACCCAAAGCCAAGAGCCTGGAGCTTCCCCGGGGTCTCTCCCATGGTGTAGGGTCCTACGGCCTTAGGCCATCCTCTACTGCTTTCAAAGAACACAAGCAGGGAGCTGAATCGAAAGTGCAGCAGCTGGGTCACAAACCAGCACTCATACAGGATCCCAGTACATACAAGGCAAGGATTTAGCCACTAGTCTATCGCACTGGATCCCACATTGTACTCTAAAAAGATGCAAAGAGAGAGGATGCTTCATACTTTAAACACAGCATCACAATGGCAACCGTGCAGTTTCTTAGAAGGTAAAACATTCATCTAACCACACAACCCAGTTATTTCACTCCCAGCTATTTATTAGAAAAATGAAAACATATTCCCACAGTGCCACATGAATGTTCATAACAACTTTATTAGTACAGCAAAAACCATGGCTTGGTAAGTTAAGCTTCTGCCTACAGATATACCATATGGGTGCCAGTTCAAGTCTCAGCTGCTCTGCTCCTGGGTCAATTCCCTGCTCAAGAAAGCAGTGGGGGCCCAGCAGCATGGCCTAGTGGCTAAAGTCCTCGCCTTGAGCGCGCCATGATCCCATATGGGCACCAGTTCTAATCCCAGCAGCTCCACTTCCCATCCAGCTCCCTGCTTGTGGCCTGGGAAGGCAGTCAAGGACCACCCAAAACCTTCAGACTCTGCACCCGTGTGGGAGACCCAGAAGAGGTTCCTGGTTGCCGGCTTCAGATCGGTGCAGTACCGGCCGTTGTGCCCACTTGGGGAGTGAATCATTGGACGGAAGACCCTCCTCTCTGTCTCTCCTCCTCTCTGTATATCTGACTTTGTAATAAAAACTAAATAAATCTTAAAAAAAAAAAAAGAAAGAAAGCAGTGGAAGATGGTTCAAGTCTTTGGGTCCCTGCATTCATGTAGGATATCCAGCAGAAGCTGCAGGCTCATGGCTACAGACCGGTCCAGCTCCAGGCATTGCAGCCATTTGGGGAAAATGAACGGAAGAAAAGTCTCTGTCTCTTCTCTCTCTGACTTTCAGTTAAAAATAAGTAGTAAGGGCCCGGCCCGATGGCGCAGTGGTTAAGGTCCTCGCCTTGCACGCTCGGGATCCCATATGGGCGCCGGTTCTAATCCCAGCAGCTCGTTTCCCATCCATCTCCTAGGGAGTGAATCATCAGACGGAAGATATTCCTCTCTGTCTCCCCTCTCTGTATATCCGCCTTTCCAATAAAAATAAATCTTAAAAAAAAAATAAAGCTGTTCTATTATTTAAAAAAAAGTAATAAATCTTTTTGTAAAAAAGCAGCCAAAATCAGAAACAAATCTAATGTCGATCAATAATTCAATGCATAAGCAACTCAATGTATCCACACAATGGAATACTACTCAACAATAAGAAGGTACACATTATTGCTGACACTCAACCAAACCACATGGAAAAGTCTCATAATAATTATGTTGCATCAGAGAAGAAAACGAATATAAATCACATGATTCCACTGATAAAAATCAACTTTGTACAACAGAATGCATCTCAATTATACGTCAATGAAACTTTCTTTTCTGCCGATCATACCCTTGCCCCTCTGCTGTCTGACAATGACTTCAAGTGGAACATACACATCTGCACACAGGGACAAGTGTCCAGTGAGATGATTCTGATATACCTCCGACAGGCAGTCAGTCATTGCTCTCAGTACTTCTTTGAAGGTATTAACAAGACAGAAAAAAGTCACACACAAAAACAAGTCTAGAGAGGCAGACAGGAAGAGGGAGGAAGGCACAGCCAAGCACTCCAACATCTGGCAGTCAGAGTGCTAAATGCAAAACCGCGTGAATGCATTAAAAGTCACTGGACTACACACATGGGCACTGAACCGAATGATGCATGAGTTAAAGAAAAAAACAAAACAAAACAGAACCTGTGCAACTAATTACATGTTTTTAGATTGAACAACATTAAGAAACCTTGGAGAAGTTATTTAACATCTTGGAAGATGAAAACACTCACCCAAAAGCATTGCTGTACATGAAAGCAATACTCACACATAAGCAGTAGTTAATAATAAATACAAAGCCAACATGGACACACCCCACATGGTTCAGTGTTGTTACCAGGTACTTTAACATTCTGCTGTATATGTGCATGCATGTGTAGAAAAAAATAAATGGAACCTAAAAGAAATTTCATTTCTTTCAGGTTTACCAATTTTTAATTTTTTTAAAAAGAATACAACAGAATAAACTATTCAGCTACGCAAGGGGAACAAGTTATTTAGTCACTTACCTATTGGGGGTGCTTGGTATCGATCCACTGTTTTTCTTTGTCTCAAATTATAAGGTCTATCATTTTCTTCTCCTTCTGCCTCTTCAACTTCTATATCTCCATCTTCTTCTTGAGACTCTAGTTTCACCAAAGCAAAAGGAAAAAAAGTTGTTTAATCGGTAAGATTTCATCCACTGTAGAACTGAATATATACATCTAATCAGTACCATTCTGCAAAGGTAACATTTAAAAGCAGTATAATTTTATGACACAGGATAAATCAATATATTTAAAAACTAATCTATAAAGATGCTAATAATAATATTCTTCCCACCAATGGTCAATATACTTGTCACCTGAATAAACAAGTGATGATCACAGATGTTCTCTTAAACTATCAGAAATTGTTAAATACTAAACAATAATAGAACATGATTTAGATTTTTAGCAAAATACAAAAACTCAATCAATCCCCAATTAAACAATAAATAAAGTTACTATTTAAAATCATCCTGCTTAGGAGCTGGTATCACACCTCAACAGGTTAATCCTCCACCCTGGTGTCAGCATCCCATATGAAAATAGGGTCATGCCCTGGTTGCTCCATTCCTAGCCCAGGTCTCTGCTTATAGAAGGGAGGGCAACAGTGGATGTCCTGAGTCACCCTGCACTCATGTGGAGGAGGCTCCTTGTTCCTAGCTTCAGATCAGCTCCACTTTAGTCATTGAGACCATTTGGGGAGTGAAGCAATGAATGGAAGATCGTTTCTTTCTTTCCTTCTTTCTCTCTCCCTCTCTTTCTTTCTTTCCTTTTCTCTCTCTTCATCTCTCTGTAAATCTGCCTTTCAAATAACAATAAACAAATCTTCCAAAAAATTCTGCTTAAAAGATTATTACTAACCTTTTAGCGAGAGCACTCTGATCAGCAATTTAATGGTTTATTAGAACTGGTGACCACATTTAAGCATGGATTTGGTACAAGCATACAGGTACAAAGTTGGAGGGAGCAGGCCTGGCATAATGGCTCTATGGCTAAATCCTATCACCTTGCAAACTCCAGTATCTCATATAAGCACTACCTCATATCTTGGGCTGCTCTACCTCCCATCCAGCTCCCCACTTTTTGCCTAGGAAAGCAAGAAAGAATGGCCCAAAGCCTTGGGACCCTACAGCTATGTGGGAGACCCAGGAGAAGCTCCTGGGTCTTTGCATCAGCTCAGCTACCAGCCATTGCAGTCACATTGTAGTGAACCATCAGACGAAAGATCTTTCTTTCTCCCCATTCTAAATCTGCCTTTCAATAAAAATAAACAATTTAAAAAAAAATCAAAGTTGGAGGAAACATTGAAACAGAATTTAAGGATGCTGAAAGCTTTATTTCTTTTTTTTTTTAAGATTTATTTATTTTTATTACTAAATCAGATACACAGAGAGTTGCAGAGACAGAGAGGAAGATCGTCTGTCTGATGATTCACTCCCCAAGTGAGCACAATGACTGGTGCTACGCCCATCCGAGGCCAGAAGTAGCCAGGAACCTTTTCCGGGTCTCCCACATGGGTGCAGTGTCCCAAGGATTTGGACTATCCTCGACTGCTTTCCCAGGTCACAAGCAGGGAGCTGGATGGGAAGTGGAGCTGCCAGGATTAGAAGCAGCACACATATGGGATCATGGCGCGTTCAAGGCGAGGACTTTAGCCACTAGGTCATCATGGCAGGCCCAAAAGCCTTATTTCTTGGTGTGAATGGTAATTCTGACAATTCATCTGTTGGTACATTTAAAAATGCAAGCCAATACATTCTAAAGGTTCATTTAAGAAAATGTTTGGCTATGTTAGGATGAGACATATTTAAATTAAAATAGGCATACAACCTCCAAAGGCAATATTCTTTATAAGTATAACCACAATCATTATCAACGACATAATCCTACAGAGCACAGAAAAAAATTCTCAGCTGCCAGTGATGCTGAAGTAAGTAAAACATCAGAATCACAAGGAACTTCACATTTCACTCATCCACATTTCCAATTAGAAAGTTTGTTTCAAGCTTTTGGCTGTTTACTTATTTATTTGAAAGGCACAGTTACATGGAGACAGAGCCAGACAGAGAGAGACAGAGAGAAAGACCTTCCATCCACTGGGTCACTTCCCAAAGGGCTGCAATGGTAGGGTGTAGCTGACCCTAAACTGGGAGCCAGGAGTTTCTTCTGGGTGTCCATGTGGGTGCCGGGGTCCAAAGACCTGGGCCCTTCTCCCTGCCTTCTCATTAGGAAGGAACTGGATTAGAAGTAGAGCTGCTAGGACTCAAACTGGAGCACATTTAGGATGCTGGCACTCCAGGCATAGGATTAGTCTGATATTATATCAAGTGCCAGCCCTACCACCCTTTCCAAAAAAAATTTTACCCATTTATTTAAAAGGCAGAGTTACAGAAGGAAGGAGAGAGCAATCATTCACCCAAGTGGCTGCAACAGCCAGACCTGCAGCAGACCGAAGCTAGATCATCCAGGTCGGGTCATCTGCTGCTGCTTTCCCACGCACATTAGTAGAGAGCATGCTGAAGAGAATCAGTTGGGATGAAAACTGGCACCACACAAGATGTGGGTGTCACAGGCAGCAGCTGAACCTAGAACACTAGCCCCTGAATAAAAATTTTATACACATTCTGTACATGTCATATCTACATTGGAAACTCTACAAAGGTATTCAATTAATGAAGTGTGGTGGGAGGAGGGGGAATCACATTATAAACCTGTCTTACCCATTCTAATTCTCTTCAAAGAAAGCAACACAGCTATAACAACAATATTTACTCAAAAAAAATCTCCATCATGGGCCAGCTCCACGGCACAATAGGTAAAACCTTTTTCCTACAGTGCCAGCATTCCATAAAGGCAACAGGTTCAAGTGCCAGTTGCTCTACTTCTCATCTAACTCCCTGCTTTTGTGCCTGGGAGAGCAGTGGAAGATGACTCAACTCTGCACCCACATGGAAGACCCAGTAAAACAGCTCTGGCTCCTGGCTTTAGACTGGCTTAGCTCTGGTCACTGCTGCCATTTGGAGAGTGAATCAATAAAAATCAATAAAATCTTAAAAAAAAAAAAAAGCATTCTTTCAAATGAAGAAAATGAAAAATCAAAAAATTCATTTCAAATTATACAATACATACATTCAAAATCAAAGCACTCGTCCAGCAATATCATACACACATGGTTTGTGCATATTATTTTTTTCCTGCCTTCCTCCTGAACACTCTAGTATTTATTTCATAAGGTGCTTCACAAACCTTCTTCTTCACCTTCAGTAGAAACCTCATGATGATTCTGTATGCCATAACTGTTTCTTCTCAATGACTTTCTTCGTCTTTTCACTCTTGAATACATATCCATGTTTTCCTTTTAAAAAGAGAAGTCTGTCGATTACATTGATTCTCTGCTACATATTATGTTAATCCAATAGCACATTTTTTGCACAATAAAACTTGTGAAGCACAGATTTCCAAGGCAAAAAGAAAAAGAAACTTTCTAAATTCAACAAATGTAAAGAACATAAGAAAGTCAAAATGTATAAGATATTAAAAGCTAAGATGCCATCAATCTATTTTCTCCCTCAAATAACAATAGAATAGGACAGAATAAGACAGGGCGAATAGTTACAAGATAAAGTGCAACAAAATCAAGGGAGGTATGAAACATTCTAGATGTCAAACAGCAGCCGCCTGTGCTCTGGGCATGTCATGGAGGGAGCAAGACCTTAAAACAAAGGTGGAATTCTATCAGTTGCTAACCCAGAGTACTAAAAGGGGTAAAAGATGTGGGGACAAAAATAATCTGTTTATATCCTGGAAATGGAGTGTAAACAGATAAAGCTGAAAAGAGATTACAAAGGTCAAGATATTTCTCATTAATTCATTAAAAAATACCATTAAAGGTCAAATTGGAAGAGTGGCAGAATCAAATCAGCACTTTAAGATGACTAATGACAAACCTGAACAGGGCATTTGGGGAAGGTTGTGGCAAGAAGCAAATGCACAGAAGAAAGCAACGAGAGCCTGGCAGCATGGCCTAGCAGCTAAAATCCTTGCCTTGAACACACCGGAATCCCATATGGGCGCCGGTTCTAATCCTGGCAGCTCCACTTCCCATCCAGCTCCCTGCTTGTGGCCTGGGAAAGCAGTCAAGGACGGCCAAAAGCCTTGGGCTTTGGACCCTTGGGCTTGCACCCATGTGGGAGACCCAGAGGAAGTTCCTGGTTCCCAGCTTCAGATGGGCGCAGCACCGGCCGTTGCGCTCACTTTGGGAGTGAAATATCGGACAGAAGATCTTCCTCTCTGTCTCTCCTCCTCTCTGTATATATGACTTTCCAATAAAAATAAATAAATCTTTAAAAAAAAAAAAAAAGAAGAAGAAAGCAACAACGAATCCCAAACTACTAGAAATGAAGACAAAGGAACAAGTGTGTTCATTTTTAAAAAATCCAATCACTGCTCATTCTCTCTTTGAATTACTCAACAGCATTTACTTTCAGCAGTTGCTAGAGTTAATATACTCACAAATTCTGTATCTGTCCACATTCGAAGTCTCTCTACTTCTCCTGATCGACGATTCCGCCTAATGTTAATGTTATCCATTTCCTGCAGTACAGCTTCAGCAGTGCTAACGCAGATCATAAAAACAGAAGGGACCATCCATTATGCCACACATGGAATAAAGCACCATGAATTCTAATATGGAACTGCACATAAGTTCAAAACTAAATCTTCATAACTACCACCCACCATAAAGCAATACCCAATCAGAATAAAAACAAAGAATCAGATCATCATCTATTTTAATACAAAAGAGGTCTGAAAAAAGTTCACAGGAAATGCATATTATGTAAAAAACTACACATGGATTTCAATGTATTTGGCACCAAAATAAACTACCTCTTCATTTCCATTTTCCATAAAGTTTTTGAAGGACCCCCCCCCAGCATATATTAAAATAAAGCTTTAAAATGGTAAGTCTTCTTTACAAGACTCAAAATAAATTAATTCTTAGTACCATTAAGAATAACTACCAGTTCCAGAGAATTGGAGAAAAAAACTAATTCAATATTTCTATAAGAAGATGGTAGAAATGCATGAAATAAAAGGACTTATAAAAGTTTAAAGCCAGAGTAAGGTTAACTGAACAGATGCTTTCAAAAATTAGAAAATACTGATATCCAAGAAATACATGATACCATTGTAGCAATTTTTATTTTGTCTTTTTAAGAAGCACATAACATGGGGCCCAGCACAATAGCGTAGTGGTTAAATTCCTCGCCTTCCACACCCAGGATCCCATATGGTTGCTGGTTCTAATCCCGGCGGCCCTGCTTCCCATCCAGCTCCCTGCTTGTGGCCTGGGAAAACAGCTGAGGACGGCCCAAAGCCTTGGGACTCTGCACCCACATGGGAAACCCAGAAGAGCTCCTGGTTCTTGGCTTCAGATCAGCACAGTACCAGCCGTTGCGGTCACTTGGGGAGTGAACCATTGGACAGATCTTCCTCTCTGTCTCTCCTCCTCTCTGTATATCCACCTTTCAATAAAACTAAATAAATCTTTAACAAAAAAAAAAAAAAAACAAACAGAAGCAGCACATAACATTTACTATGTGTCCAGATACTGACCTACATACTTAAACTAATCTAGATGCTAAAGAACAGGTACTAACCCGGTAAGACACTATCATTGTAGAACATACATTCCTCTCCTGTCACTGAGCTCGCATTGTAAGGCCAATTAGGATGACATCCTCTATGGCTTGAATGTCCCCCCCAAAATCAGGGGCTAGAGTGATTCGCAATGCAGCAGTGTTTGCGAGGCGATGAGGTTATGAGGTCACTGCCCTCTGAATGCTGTCATTTCCATAAAGGTTAAGCCTGAGCCTTTTTTCCTTCTTTCTCCCTCTTTGATTCTACCACTTCCTCCAACCCTGTTCCTCTCCAGCACTCTCCCCCACTTTCTGATGCCTTCAGCCGTGTTTCAATGAAGCAAAGTCCTATCATATTTGGTCCCTCAATCTTGGTCTTTCTTGCCCCCAGAACTGTGAAAAATTTCTCTTTCTTAAAAATGCACCCAGTCTGTAGTATCCTCTTATTGCAGCAGTAAACAGGGTAAGTCAAAGTATAATCTCAGATTTATTTTTGTGGAAATTGATGCTGATCTGACAGTCAAACAGGCTCATCCACTAGCTAAGTGACTCAATATCACATAACTAGTCTAAAAACATCTTCAATCCAAAATATTGATGAAGCAATATTACTATTTACCTTATCAAAATGGAATTTATGGTTGGTTGAAAATTGTCAAAGCTATCAATGTTAAATGAGCAAATATCAAGCCTATAGTAATAAAGAAAAAAATTTCCTTTTTATATTATTTAACTAAGCACAAAAGCTTGAAATAAGGACATTTTTAAATATTACATGAAACATACATATTTATTAAACAGATTAAAAAACTGAGTTACTGCTAACTATTGTTAAATTAAGTTTTATAAAAATTGTGCTTATTGCAAATTCAGTGCTTAAGTTACTTTTTAAAACAATAGTTGGTTGAAAATCAAATAATTAAAATAGAAGTTGCTTACTGCAGTCATACCTATTTACTAGTTGGTCAAATAACAAACTCTGGTTCACGCTTTCAAATCTGTTTTTCCTGGATCGACAGCTTTTTCTGACTTCCATGTCCCCATTTATACAAGAGAGATCCCCATCTCCCTTCTTCTCCCCTCGCAGGGGATGGCTTCGAAGGGCTGCAAGAAAAAGAGATATTTCCATTTCAAGGCATGGAATACAAAAAGAGAAAAAAATAATTTTTAAAAGACTAAGAAAGCTTATATAATCCTCTACTTAAGATTTAGGTTAAAATTCAATAATCTAATTTTCCATAACTATTTTTAAATAATTTAAATTATTGCAGCTGCATTAATTTCTGGAAGTTCAACAGTGGCATGAACATTAGGACTGAAATCCAGCCATTTTTCAACTGTATGATGACCATATTATTAAACCACTCTGTTTTGTCCCACTTAATGCTAGCACTTACACCAGTAATAAGAATTTTAACACTAACTAGTTTCATTAAAAAATACTCACATAGGCTACTATGTCCGTTTGGTAACGTAGCAGCAGGCTGAGAAGTTAACCTGGAACACAATTATATTTAATATACAAACATATCAAAATTTGTTTAGATAAGCAAGAAATGCCATACTGCTAGAATTATTTTATATACAATTACAATACTTTTTTAGAATCTAAAATAGCATTTTCACTCTAACACTTGCAACATACCAATATACCAAACATATTAGCATGCCAAAAATAAGCTCATTACTTCAAGAGAAACTATTTATTCTCTCATCAACTGTATGAATTAAGATCACAATGAAAAGACTTAAGCTTAACATGTACCATAAACTTAACATGTACCATGAAAAAAATTTAATTGAGGCCCAAAGTAGTAGTGGCCACAGTCACTAACTTTCGTTTTGTAAATTATAACAGCAAAAGGTACCTGAACATAAACATTATTTAATGATGTTGCTTTAAACTGACAACAAACCTTAGCTTATTACTCAAAACAGTCATTTTATAAGCTCTCTTGTGAGCAGAAGGAATTCAGTGAGCAGAAAGATTCAAGTAAATGCGCAAAACATGAGGACACAAGACAACTACAGTACTTCTTAGTGTAATCAGAAACTTTAAACATAAAAATGAAATTACTTAATAATAAAAGAGCTGTCAGTATAAACCTGGATAATTTTTAAATATGCAGCAATTCTAAGACAAGAAAAGGGAAGGACACTCAGGAAATGGTATTTGTTATACAGATGCATGTCATGGTTTGGGTCAGTCTAGCACTCATCATGCTATTTTACATATGACAAAGCCCAGGAAAGATCACAGCATGACAAAAGGGTATGCACAAAAGTCAAAACTACCATAAGCCTCAGACTACCAATACTGAAACAGAAAACACCAATTTCCCATATAGCCACCAAAATTAAATATACAGATAGATAAAATATTTTGTTCTAATATTCTACTCTTAGAACCTTCATTTTTGGGGGCCAACATTATGGCAGTGGAGATAAAACCATCAGCTGTATGCCGCCATCCCACATAGGCACCTGTTTGCGTTCTGGCTGCTCCACTTCCAATCCAGCCCCCTGATAATGGCCTGGGAAAAGCAGTAGAAGGCAACCCAAGCTTATGAGAGACCGGAAGATGCTCCTAGGTCTTACCGATATCCGGCTCAGCCTTGGCCATTGACGCCATTTGGGAAATGAACAAGCAAATGGAAACTCTTTCTCTCTCTCTCTCTAATATAAGTAAACCAATAAAAGAAAAACTTTTTTTTTCTATATATAATGCACTAGATTCTCCAGGTATATTGGAATAACTACAAATTAATATATGTACCCTAGTAATGCTGTACTTCTGGAATTCTCTAAAACCACTTTCAAAATTCACTTAAAATCGGGCCCGGCGCGATGGTTAAGGTCCTTGCCTTGCACGCCCGGGATCCCATATGGGCACCAGTTCTAATACCAGCAGCCCCACTTCCCTTCCAGCTCCCTGCCTGTGGCCCGGGAAAGCAGTTGAGGACGGCCCAAAGCTTTGGGACCCTGCACCCATGTGGGAGACCCAGAAGAGGCTCATGGATTCGGATCGGCATAGCATCAGCCGTTGCGCTCACTTGGGGAGTGAATCATTGGACGGAAGATCTTCCTCTCTGTCTCTCCTCTCTGTATATCTGCCTTTCCAATCAAAAAAATAAAATAAATCTTTAAAAGCAAACAAAAAAAACACATAGATTTAAAAAAAATCACTTAAAATCACATAGAAAAGTTATATTTACTACTTCATAAATATACCCTGGCTTTGAACTCTGTATAATATTAACTCAATTTGATCATTTCATTCACAAATCTTGCACCAAATAAATTCTGGCTCAAAGCCAACTGGGTGAAATGTTACATCCAAAAAGAAAAAAAGTAAAATGCAGATCCTAAAATTATCAGAGTCACACATACACACAAACTAAAACTTCTATACAATGGTAACATCACTGGGTAAGAAAGCAAAATTAGCTTTATTGTCTGCTCTGCAGAGGACCATGCATATTCAGCTTTTACTTTGCTACTTAAGAAAGATATTAAAAAATAAATAAATAGAATCTGCTCATTGATTATAGTCATAACCACTGTCGTCATTTCACCATTGCTATTTCTCTTTATAAAAAAGGAGAGAGGGAAAAACACAAGATTAAATATTAGGATATTCAATGAAAGAATCATGAGATTTTAAGAGTTGCCTCGCCCCCGCCCCTCTTTACCAGATCCTGATACGGTTGGGTTCCTGGGAGTGGTCCCTCTTTCCTCCCACACCCCGCCCCAGTACAGGAGGACAAAAAACTGGAAGCAAGGGTCTCATCCACTTTCCCTGAGGCTCAATCTTCTACCACCCTGATCAGCAGTCCACATAAGCATGCATCCTTCTCAACTGTATGAACATCAAAAATAAAATAATTTTTAAAAAAACTGGCCCACATACATTAACACTGAAACAACTGTATGTACATCACTATTCCCAAAGGATATTCAAACATATAAGCCCATATTTCTCCTTAATGGAAAACTCATAATCTATCTCAAAGTACTTATCGAGACTCAGAAGTCCTGGTTACAATTTGACCTCTATTTTTACCCAATTGCCAACGTTTTTAAAATTTTCACAACTATTAATTTGTTAAGTTGGTGATATTTTTAAAGTTCTTTAGGATTCTTATTTTCAGAGTTAATGCTAAATTTGGGGGGCTCTCATTGTAGCATAGCACGTTAACTGCCGCATGTTGTGCTAACATCACAAAGGGGCACCAGATTGTGTCCCTGAGAACACAGAAGAGGGCCCAAGGGCCTGGACTTTGAGATCCACAGGCAAGACCCCACCATCAGCCCGGCTCAGCCATTTGGGGAGTGACCCAGTCGACAGAAAACCGCATTCTCCAAGCTCTTCCACCCTCAGTGTAACTCATATTTCAAACAAAAATGTACCTAGGTGGAGGCATAATTATCTTGAGTTCTATTCTTCCAAAATATTTTGAGGCTTTTATATATGCAAGGTATAATCATGACCTGTTTCCATAAAGGTTTCTGGGGAGATAAGACATGTGAAATCTGGCATAAATGCATATACACTTGAATAAACCTTAACTTTTTTTGGCAGGGGGGAGGAGGAATGTATTCAGAAAAAGAAGCTTAGCTCATTCTTTCAATAAATACAAATTACAACAGGTAGATCAAGTCTAAAAGTATAATTAAATAGCAGTATTCATTTAAGTCAACACCACATAATGATCTAGACCTGTTTTGTCTCACAAATAAATGACTGTGGGAAAAATTTTAAAAATCAGACTATGATTCATGTATTTTTCCATCTAGTGCCCAGACAATGGAAAACAAAAAGCTTAAACAGGCACCTCTTATGAAACATACTGTAATAAGCACAGACTCCTCGGGGACCAATGATCAGACACAGATGGTCAGAGTCTATACAGCCCAAAGAGTAACAGTATCAAGAATTTACCTACATTTTTAAAAATCAAAAATGAAAATATTAAGTTTCTGAGGGAATGAAAAAAAAAGGGGACTTCATTTCTAATTTTCTTTGTAGTTGACACACCGTCACTACACTTCTGGATGAAAGTCTAGAAAAAATAAAAACAGGTTCTGATTGCAAAGTTTAAATTCTTTCTATATGTGTGATTCTATCTTACCTATGTTAAATAATAAAATTTCCTTTGAAACAAAATAAATAAATTCAATTGAAAACCAAGGAGCCATGGGAAGGCAGTCAAGAACGGCCCAAAGCTTTGGGACCCTGCACCTATGTAGCAGACCTGGAAGAGCTTCCAGCCACTGCAGCCACTTGGGAAGAGAACCAACAGATGGAAGATCTTTGTCTCTTTTTCTCTCTCTGTAAAATCTGCCTTTCCAATAAAAATGAGCAAATCTTTAAAAATGAAACCAACTGGCCAGATTGTGATGTACATATTAAGCCTCCACATGAAACCTTGGCAACCCATATGGGCACAGGTTAGAGTCCTGGCTGCTCCACTTCCAGTCCAGCTCCCTGCTAATGGCCTGGGCAAACAAACAATGGAAGATGTCCCAAGCAGTTATGTCTCTGCGCCAACATGAGAAACCCAGAAAAAGCTCCAGGTTCCAAGTGTCAGCCTGATCCAGCTTTTGGGGAGTACACCAGTTCTGTCTTCCATTTTTCTTTGTAACTCTGCCTTTCAAATTAAAAAAAGTAATAATAATAATAAATAAAAGCTAAAAACAAAATAATGGAAAAGATTTTTTTGAAGATTAAAATTTTTTATCTTTTACTAAGTCAAAAGAAATATCCAATAAAGCCTTAAAAGGGGGAGGTTTTACTTTTCAAATAAATAAATTTTAACCACACTGCATATATTTTATATAAATTTTCAGGATGATACACACGCATTCAAGACCTACCAAAGTCCTTACTGTCATAGCCATTTCTATTACGTATTACAATCTTCATGTAATAGATTTTTCAGCATATTTGGAGAAAACAAAATTACAGGCAAAAATCATACAATGGTTAAGTACAGTTCATGAATATTTACTATAAGATCCTAGTTCCCACAAAAGGGACAAAAATTAGCACTGATATTAGTCCTGAAAAACTCTAAATAATTCAGGAAGAAACGAGCGATGAGTTTGCTCACCTGGTCTGTCCAGTGGTTATGTTCCATTCCTCTCGCTGACCAGCACCACGTGATTTTGATTTGTCTTTGCAAACAGAATCAGGTTGTTTCAAAGTGCGCTTGGCTGGAGGAGAAACGTGGCTATCGCTTAAACTACCATCAACTTCAACTTTCTGAAAGACAACAGTAAACAAAGTCTTAACATTCTTTGATAATCAAGTAAAGTATATTTTTCAACCAATAAATATGAACTGATTCATATTACATTGCAGCAAAATATATTACTCCATATATTCTAAAAATGAGATCAAATTTACAAGCAAAAATGTATGTTTTGATCATTTATACTTTGAAAAACTTCAAGAAAATGTATGACTGCTTAAGGTATGTATATATCTTTTTTTTTTAAGATTTATTTATTTTTATTACAAAGTCAGATATACAGAGAGGAAAAGACACAGAGAGGAAGATCTTCCGTCCAGTGATTCACTCCTGAAGTATGCACAATGGCCGGTGCTGTGCCAATCCAGAGCTAGGAGCCAGGAACTTCCTCCAGGTCTCCCACGCGGGTGCAGGGTCCTAAGACTTTGGGCTGTCCTCAACTCCTTTCCCAGGCCACAAGCAGAGAGCTGGATGGGAAGAGGAGCTGCTGGGATTAGAACCAGCACCCATATAGGATCCTGGGCACATTCAAGGCGACGACTTTAGCCACTAGGCCACTGCGCCAGGCTTGGTATGTATATATCTTAACATAATACAATGTTCTAAAACATTCTACCCCAAACAGGTCTCAACTTCGTTTAATCAGGAAATCACTCTAAATCAGGAAATCAAACTAGTGTAACACAGCTAATTCAGACACAATCAAATTTTACCAAAGTCTCTCTTCCTTTTCTAGATCAAAGATCCTACCCAAAAATACATCCCACATTCAGTTACCAGATCTCCATCAATGTTGGGGGCACTGACCATTTCCTGCCCTGTGATTGGCCCTTTGCCCTGATTGGTGTGCCTTGGTTCTCTTTAAGTTGATTGGTCAAGTTTGACAGTTAAGCGGGGGGCTTGGCGGGGGAGGGGCTGGAGCGTAACGGATATAACGGTGATAACGGTCAACGGACAACGGTCACGACGGGACGGAGGAGCAGAATAAAAGCGCCTTGGAGACTCTCTCAAGTGTCGGGTGATTTCTTCCGCGGGACGGGAGGACCCCCGATATTTGGTACCGTGACTCGGATAGAATATAACTGGTGCTGTGACTCGGACAGAAGATAACTGGCGCTGTGAATCGATAGAAGTCAGCTGGTGAACACCAGGAAGGTAAGCTGAGCAGATCGCTCAGGGAGCCGCTTAGAGCGGGGAATTAGTTACAACTGAGCTTTTTGCTCAGGAAGCCGCAGCAGCGGGGGGCCCATTTAAGCTGAGGTTTCAGGTTACCTCAGGGAGCCGCTGATAGCAGCGGGGACGTGCATGTCAAGTTCGCGGATTAGCGACGAGCCAAGTTCGCAGGGTAGCGACGAGTCGAGTTAGTCAAGTTCGCGGGTAGCGACGAGTCAAGTTAGTCAAGTTCGCGGGTAGCGACCATTAAAGCTGGGTTTTGCGACTATTCAGATTCATTCAGGATCACGGTTTACCGCCATTCAGGGTCGCAGTTTACCGCCATTCAGGGGCGCGGTTTACCGCCATTCACGATCGCGATTTACCGCCATTCAGCGTTGGGGTTTACCGCCATTCAGGGTCGTGGTGTACTGCCCATTCAGGTTTGTGATCTAGCGCCCATTCAAGTTCACAGTTAACGATCAATTTCGCCATTTGACAATCGGTCAAGTTTGCAGGTTAGCGACGATCAGCGGTGTTAGAAATATGGCCAATTTAACTTTTTCGGCGCACATGCAGCCTTTATTGCAGAAACTGCTGACGGTACTGTTGTTTTTGCAAACTATGCAGAGGATCACTCCATGGTTTCTGGAGGAGGGCCTTTTGATCCTGCCACAATGGGAGCACTTAGGCAGAGACTTAGCTAAGGCAGAACACCAGGAGCCCCTTCCTCCAGGAACAGTCAGGATCTGGACATTGATTAAGTCTTGCCTGACTGATGGCACTGATAAATTCAGAGGACGTATACAGGAAGGTGAGAAAGTCTTATGGAAACGCAAAAAAAAAAAAAAAAAAAAAATCAGAATGGATGGTTTGAAGATCCTTAATGATTTCCAGCAGGTATTGGGGTATACTAATTGGATCCAACCATATTTTTGTATTATTAGACAATGCCAAAATTGTGTCCCATTTTTATCCCAGCCTTGCTTTGGGGTTAATCCCTGTGGTCTTATGTCTAATCATATATGGCAGATGGATGTTACCCATGTTCCCAGTTTTGGTTGCCTTTCTTTTGTTCATGTCTCTATTGATACCTGCTCTGGAGTTCTTTATGCCTCAGCTCATACAGGGGAAAAGGTTCAAGATGTTATATCTCACTGCCTTCAGGCTTTTGCAGCCTGGGGAGTCCCCCAGTGTTATAAGACTGATAATGGACCTGCCTATGCAGCCAAAGCATTTGATAAATTTTGTTTTGAATTTGCAATTAAACACTCTACTGGCATCCCATATAATCCCACAGGCCAGGCTGTGGTAGAGCGTGCCCATGCAACTCTCAAAGCATTATTAATAAAACAAAAAGGGGGAGTAGGAGCCACCCTATATCCCAAAAGTCCTAAACATCAATTGGCTTTAGTTACTTATATTTTTAACTTTTTGATTCTGGATTTGGATGGCCATTCTGCTGCCGAACGCCACACTGTTGGCGCAGGCCCCTGCAAAGATTGGGTGATGTGGAAGGATGTTTTAACAAAACAATGGATGGGCCCGCATCCTGTCTTACGACGGACGCGAGGAGCGGTTTGTGTTTTTCCGCAGGATTCTGATGGACCGGTGTGGGTGCCAGAACGTTTGACACGAGTGATAAGAAAGCCGGAGCAAGATGAACCTGTGGACGTGGTGGATGCTGACCAGCCTGATGTTCATTCAGATACCGAGAGGAGACAACCAGAATCTCCAGCTAAAACTGCACCATAAAAGGTGTGCAGCAAATATTGACTCGCTGTCTAGGGCCTTGGAAATGGCCCCCAGAATGGACTGCTGTCAAAGTACTGTGACTCCTAGAAGAGTAGCACCTGATCTTGCTGTGACCAATTTATTTCCTACCTGTTCAAATTGTGCCTTTGTGGGGTATAACTATATATATGGTAACCCTGTTCAATCTGTTTCTGCTCAGTCTTGGAATGTCTGGGTACTTTGCACTAATAGGGGTGGGTGTTCAGATATATCAGCTTTTGCATTTATTGATAAGGTAGTGATAAGAAATTGTAATTATAGTAGTAGTAGTTCTAGAATATGGGAAGAAAATGTTAAAGTTAATTGCAGTTGTTATGTTATCTATAATGCTATTTATGTATGTGTACAAGCTCCATTTATGTTTATTGTTAATTGCTCTGTAGTTAAGTGAGCCCTTAACCAGTGTTGGAATGGCTCTGGCACTGTGGTGCTGGTACGCATTCCACAACTTATTTCCATCATATGGGGACCTCCTGTGTGCTTAGTCTACCTGGAATGTGTGTCACTCCCTCTATTGTCACCAATGGTTCCCGAGCACTGAATTTGTCCAGAGAATTATCCGCTACGCTATCCCCTAGTGGAAGCTGGTCCATACGACAAAAGTAGAGATTGCCACAGTAAAGCAATGGACAAATTGCATACTAAAGGATCTTTCCTTTGCACACCAATGGGCTGGTATAGTAGCCATGGGCCTTATATCATTCTTTGGGGTCTGTGGATGCTTCATCCTTGAGCACAGCGTCAGCAGCAGTAACAGCAGCTGCTAGTGCAAGCTGTGCTTGCCCTTCACAGCAGATAATCCCTAAAAGTCTGGCTAGGCATGCTGGACCGGTAGCCAGAGACGGGTAAGTATCCGATATGGCTTCACCAACCTAAGACAGGTGCCACGTTCCTAGCCACGTGGTTAGCCCATGATGGGTAAGGGGAGCCTGAACTCGGAACACCTAAGACAGGCACGGTCCCTTGCTTAATAAAACAAGAAGGGGGAGCTGTTGGGGGCACTGACCATTTCCTGCCCTGTGATTGGCCCTTTGCCCTGATTGGTGTGCCTTGGTTCTCTTTAAGTTGATTGGTCAAGTTTGACAGTTAAGCGGGGGGCTTGGCGGGGGAGGGGCTGGAGCGTAACGGATATAACGGTGATAACGGTCAACGGACAACGGTCACGACGGGACGGAGGAGCAGAATAAAAGCGCCTTGGAGACTCTCTCAAGTGTCGGGTGATTTCTTCCGCGGGACGGGAGGACCCCCGATACATCAATACAGTACAGTGAGTTTCCACTCTCGTCCCATGTTTATGCCTTTGATTCTCTAGGATCCCCTCATCTAGGGTTACCTGGCATTCCTCATAACCACACTGAGGCCACATGCTCCTAGAACATACAGAAATGATGCTTTTATCACTAGGAATGTTAGCCTTGATTCCTTGGCCAAGTTGAAGTCTGCCAGATTTCTCCTCTGTAAACTGAATTAGTATTTCCTTTAAATCTGGTTAGATTCTGGAGATTTATATAGCTAATTCACCAACATCCTATTTCTAATCAAATCTCCACCCTCCAGCGTTAGCATTCATTGATGGGTCTGCATGAGCCAGGGATACTAGGCTACAGCATTGAAGGCAAAGGCTGAGACAAGTAAGGGGCTAAGCCAACTGGGTTGAGCAACCACTGGGAAATTAGGGCTGGGAATAGGTTCGGCTGGGGAGCTGTGAGAATACACCCTTACCGGGTTGGGGTTCCCACGGGAGAGTGTGGGAGACAGAGTGGGGGTTGTGTTCTGGTTTGGATATGGATGCAATCTCCCCTGGCACAAGTGTGGACTGGGGCTGGGCGCACCTAACCAGACTAAACGCCAGTACCATCTGGTGCTTTGGAGAACCTGGGGAGATATAGGACAGGCTAGGCTAGGTCTCTGCCCCTAATGAGCCATCTGTGAGCAGTGTCTGGGTATGGACAAGCATTGGCTGAACTGAAACATCCAACAGTAAGAACCAGAATGGATTGAAGGCCTGCAAGGAAAGGTCACTGTTCCTGCCAGGACAGGAGATGGACTAAGTGGGGCTGGCTCA